TACCCCCAAAATTACGGTAAATAAGTCAATAAACTAAATGAAAAGATTATTCTACTATCTAATAACATTCAACCCTCCTCCACCAAAAAATTAGGGAAGAAATAAAAACTATATATCATTGTCCATACTAAACATTGATGTTTCAATTATTTGATAAATACATGTTAGAAAATAAGATCTAGAAATCTGTATAATACTCATAATTCAAACTATTGTGTTCAAAGTTGGCTTAATGCAATTCAGCATGTTGAAGGATTGGAAAAGAAAAGCATAAGATGACTTCAAATGATGCAGAAAAGACATTTTACAATTCTAAAATTAAAACTCTGATTTAAAGCTCTCAGCCACCTAGACATGGTAACATTCCCTCAATTTGATAAAGAGCCTCTATGAAAATCCCACTGGTAACGTTCATAATTAATGATGACAAAATGATTAGCTACTCAAAGAAAGAAAAAGGCATGGATGTCTTAAGGCAATAATAAAAGATTAAAAGGATCCAAATCGGAAAGGAAGAAATATTATTGACTTTATTCACAGAAATACCATTGTTTACACAGAAAGTCCTGTGAAATTGACAAATAAAACATTCAGATCCAAGAAGTGTAGGGAGGGTGCAGGATTTATCATTAGTTCATCAAAATGTATTGTATTCCTTCTTTAAAAAGATTACTTTATTGGAAAGGCAGATTTACAGAGAGAATGAGATACAGAGAAAATGTCTGCTGGTCTACTCCCCAAGTGGCTGCAACAGGTGAAGCTGAACCAATTCAAATCCAGGAACCTGGAGCCAGGAGTTTCTTCTGAGTTTCTCACGTGGGCACAGGATCTCAAGACTTTGGGCCATCCTCTACAACTCTCCCAGGCCACAAGCAGGGAGCTGGATGGGAAGTGTGTAGCCAGGATAGGAACTGGCACCCGTATGGGATCCTAGATTGCAAGGCAAGGATAGCAACTGAGCCATTGCTCTGGGACCAAAATGAATTATGTTTCTAAATACTAGATGTAATCCAACAGAAATGGGAGCTAATAAGTGATCTAACATAAAAAGCATTAAGCAAGAAGATAAAATTGCATCAAAATTATGGAACAGGAATGGACAAGTATATATCAGAATGACTGTGCTGAAAATCACAGTCTCGCAATATTGCTATGAGAAATGAAAGAAAAGCTAAATAAATGCGTGTAATGTCTGCAGGGAGCAGATTCAAACTGACATCGGGATGTAAACTCACTCCAAGTCAACTCACAGATTATGACAAGAGCTTGTTGGATTTCTGCTCTAGCCATAGAAATTTTCACTTACAGCATGGAGTTTGTTGTACATTACCCACAGTGATAAAAGTCCCTAAGCCCTCTGAGAAAGTATAAGACCGACCCTGGATGATAGTGTAGAAGCTCAAAATTTAATAAATGAAAAGCTGCAGAGCTGGAGTTTTCCAAACTAAAAGATTAATGGCATTCAATATTTAGGGCAACCACAAGTCCTGTTTTCAGAGCTCGCCTTGCATTCTATAATAAGATACTTTATCAAAATTCTTCCCAAGTTCTTATAGGATGACTTAGAGTTTGAAAAAAATGCAGAAAATATAACATACCTTCATTTCTGTTTCAAGTGTTTTTTTTTCTTTTGAACATATTTTCCTAGATTGTTAAATATACAGCTACAGAAAAGTTTTTGTTTGTAATTTCTTTGAACAGGAGCCCAGTATTTTTAGAGACACGTAAATACAGTATCTGTCCATTCTGAGAAATCCAACACATTTGCAGCTCTTAAAAAAAAACAAAGACAGTGTGTCAAAAAAAAAAAAAAAAAAGAAGGTGAGCTAAATCAAAAAGAACCGAAATGAAGCAATTAAAATAAGTAAGAAAAATAATGGAAATATTGCTTATTATACAGGAAGACAAGAGCACATCAATTGTCTTTGAATCAAGGCTGCATGACATTTCTGATATTCTGTTCATTTTCAACATGTACTTAATACAGAACAATAACTACAAACATACAGTCTGACTCGGCAACCCAGTTGCATACTTGCCATTGATGCGAGGTCAGAAGTTAACTTTTAAAAAATAAATCTTAAAATTATTCATTTTGATAAAATCTATGCACTTAAGAAAACATAATATTCATAAAACAAACCAATACAATTTTGGAACAAGAGTGCCCACTCAGAATGATTTTTATCAAACATTTATGTATTGTAGAAAAACAATGATGTACCTGATAAAAATCTTTAAAATGTAATAATATATTACACATATATCAATACCAACCAGATTGCTATGATGCTGTTTTGTTCATTTTTTTAAATGATGTTCATTGATAGAATTGTGCATCCCTAACTTCTAGGCCAACAAGGGGAGGAAAAAACCTTGGACTCCAAGTCAGATGAAAACACTGCTTGTATGTGAGAGCCAGGAAGTCTGAGTTCCAGAGATGCTGCCAGGAGAGCAGCAGCTGGAGTGATTGAAAGATTCGGAATGCCAGGAGACCTGCCAAGTGCTCACAGCAGCAGACAGTAAATAGGCACTTACTCCAATTGCTACTATTATCTAGACAGATCCAATCCTAAGTAAGATGCTGGAATTTAAAGTGACAAAGAGGTTCTAGTTAACCTTTAAGTAATGATCAAGAGAATAACAAAAACACAATCTACCACAGAGTGGGACGACAAAGATTTGTCTGATTATCCGTTGAGTGCTGCCTTTTAGAAACTTTCCAAGACAGTATGCCACCTTCATACAAATACAGCTTTGAAGGCTTGGATGTAAATGGAACAAATGTAAAATGGGTAAATTAAGTCATTCACGATATATTAGCCAAGAATAAAGATGTAACAAGAGAAGTTGATGGCTCAATTACACAAGCTTTGACTATGTTTTATCTATTTTTTTTTGCACCCAGCTGGCAGCTTTTGGAAGTAATTCATTAAAATTATTCAAGCAACAATGTTTATATTATTTTCCTGAAAACAAAACTTACTCATTATAATTTGTAAAGTCATTTCATTTTTCATAATTAAAATGTATCTATCATATAATATAATTTATCAGAGATAAATGATGATAAAAAAGCAGAAGTGTTTTTAATACTATGGGTCATAAATAGATGCATTACACATGATAGGGAAAGGAAGAAATAAACAACATAAACACACAAGAGTCACACAAAGCTGAAATATTATATTCTAGGTTTAAGCAAGTACATTTTTCTTTGAAAAATGGTTGACATTTCATTGACTAATTAGTGAAAATGAATATATTTCCACCATAAATTCACCATATGTAATTTTGAAAGAAACATCATTTTCAAAACCTTCTTTTAAAATGTTTGACACATTATAGTTGCAGGCATATACAAAGAACAGTGTGATATTTTGATATCCACTTACAATGTGTAATGATCAAGCCAGAAAAACTGACAACTGACAACTGAGACATTTACCATTTCTTAGTGATAAGAATATTCAAAATTTCTTTTTATACTTGCTTTTAAATATACAATAAATTATTGCTAACTTTTAAATATACAATAGGTTATTGCTAACTTTTCAAGAACATTTGCATGAATGATCATATTTGCTAGAAAACTAACCAAGAAACCAATTCTACAATGTCCAGACTGATACTTTATGAAGATGAAAAATACCCAACGTGGTTTTTTGACCTTATATTTTATTTTTAGCATGAGAATTGTTGTGAACTAACATTTCTGGGTTTTTTTTTCCTGTAAAGTATATTTTATTTACAGTCTACATTTTTTTCCTCTCATCTAATTCTAGAATGCCTGTAGACCTTATCTGTTTTTACTTTCTTAGTACTAAAAGGATGCTTTCATTCTCCTTTTGTTTGAATATTGGGGTATTATTTTCTCCTTTTCATTTGCCTAAGAGTCAGTTTTTGCCTTTGTAAATATGTTGTTTTAATTATTATTCTTAATTTACATCTGATATTTTATTCAATGTTGATACAATGGCATGATATGACTTTTTGTATTTTTAAATATAGGATAATTCATTTAATGTTTTGTATCACCATTTTATAAATATGAAATCATGCATTTCTAAAATACAGTAAACATTTGTTTACAGATATATAAAAATGTGTTAATAGTTTTATAGCATTTGGCTTTCCTTTCTAAATACACTGTACAAATAGTGCAAATCATAGCAAACTTTGTCAGCACTGCAAAAAAAAGTTGCTTAGTGTACTGAACTCATAAAAGAATTATTTATACTAATCTACCCTTAGATTCAAGCATGAATTAAGGTTTATCTATTAGTTTTCTACTTTCTAGTGGACTCTGACATAATTGTGGAATTACATACTACTTTCCTTTCATTTTTCATACTTGTACTAGGAAGATACTTAAAACTGTGTATGAAAAACTGAAAATGTGCATGTGTGGATGCTTCCAAAAGTTCATGGAAAATCATAAAACTGTGCATAGGTTTTATGTAGATGTGCACACATGTGCATGTGTATACTTCAAATAATAATATGAATAGAGATGCACATTTCATTTGTATTGAACTGTGACTTTTGTCATTCACCAAATCTGCTTGAATAACTCTACAGGAATGATTTATCCAAGTATCTAAATAACAGATATATTTTATTTTCTAGTTTTTACTTTAAGGGAAGCTTCTAAAACAATAAATTATGGTTTGAAATGTTTCACTGCCAATTCTAAGGCAAAATTAATGGCCAAATCTCAGTGAAGAACAGGTAATAAATTATATATATACTTCAGATGAAGAAAGATGCAGGCAGTCCTGTTCCAAAACTCAACCTCATGCTTTTCAGTGAAGTGCTGCAGATGTTCTGTGACTGTGCATCATAAGAAAAATGGGCTGAGTCAAGACAGCAGGTTTTGGGCGCTGGTATTGTAGCAACGATGCCACGTCTCCCTGATGGGTATCATCAGTCACCCAGAGCCACATTTTACATTGAATTCGTAATGGTTCCCCAAAGTCCATGAGACAGGTCTTCTCTTATCATGGCATTGTCGCATTAGTGATTGGAGGAGCCCACGAAGGGTAGGTGTGAAGGTCAAACATGGGTACCATCCAGGTAGATATGCCGAGCATCACTACTGCAACACCCACAATATTAGCACCGAGTCCAGCTTTAACCTAGAACAGAAAGAAAGAAACATAAGTCTACCCCTTAAAAAACAATCTGGAGGGGAATCCAAACACTGATAAAAAAAAAAAAAAAGCATTATGTGCCTTTACAAGCACCTCCAGTAGTGTCATGAACCTAGAGATGCTTCTTTCATTCATGTCAGATGAAAGTCTGCTCCCAACTATACATCACTTGGGTGGACGACTTGATTCCCCTTACGAATATTTCTAAGTTGTTCTGACTAGAGAAAATTTTCCTTAGGAATTGATCATTTTATGTGAAGTCAAAACATGAGTTTTGTAATTTTATACTTCAATGACTTTGCATTATGACACCATATAATAACCCTATAAGTAATAATCTCAGTCATCATTGATTTATTCTCCCACCTATAGTCTGTTCATGAGATTTCATAATGTCAGTTCTATTCTTTTTTGGAGTTCTCACTTTTCTAACTCTTACATAATCAGTCTAATATCCACTAAACAAGTGTCAGACTGTTTTTTGTCTTATTAAAATAGAGGTTGCCCAGCTATTGCCCATGATCTGTTTTTGTAAGCCAAGTTTTGTTGGCCTACAACCGCACATTTGTTTACACATTGTCTTTGCCCTCCTTCCTACTACAGTGGCAGAATTGAGTGATTGTGACAGATACTACATGGTGCAAATGTGAATTCTCTGGCTCTTCACAGAGAGAAAGTTTGTGTGCTCCCACATGGTCTGCATTGAAACAAGGAGTCCCAAGGCAAATGAAAGCCACCTAGTTATGCTGCTTCTCTGTCCACAAAAGCCATTCATTTATATAAGAATCTTTTGTTGTTTTCAGTATGAAGGACTTTTGAAGCCTTTGTGGAAATTATTCATTATTTTAAAATTCCATTTTCCATGAATTTTCTGAAGCCCCTTCACACACATGGTACTGCATATGTAGTATTAAGTACATTCTGTTTACCCAAAGGATGTTGTGGGACTTCTGCATTGAGAAAGTGCTAGAACTTTTATTTGTTCTTATTAATATATCATAACTATATATATTTATAGGGATACCAGTGTAGGATTTCAACACATGTGCAAAACATGTACTAATCAAATTAGAGTGATTCACATTTCAATTTGCATATCTACTACTTTGTGTTTAAAAGTGTTCAGCTCCTCTTTCAGTTCTTCAGAAAATAGAAAATGTGTTATTGTGAAGTATTGTCATCCTGCTGAACCATAGCATGTAATAAACTATTCCTTCTAGCTCACTCTGGGCGCCTGTTCTGCCTCCTGCTGGCCACCATTTCCAGCCTGTAGTCATCACTATTGTATGCACAGGTATTTTACTTAGATTCCACATATGAGGAAGAATAAGCAACATTTGTCTCATTGTGCCTAGCTTATTTTGGTAACGGGGTTTTCATCTGGCAAGGAACAGCAATCTTTATGGAAGCAAGGGAGTTAGCATTTACCATACAACTGTTCTTGTATATCAAGTTCAAACAATTTACCTTGATTATTCTTACTTTGTTTCATTTAGATGTTGCTCTTGAATATTGGAAGAGAGATTAAAATATTCCGAAGCCAGTTCTTAACTGTCACTATTTCTGTATTTTGCCAAAATATTCACATGTTTTGTCTCTAGAATTTCTATTATTGCTTGCTAATGCTTTCCCACAGGTGTATATGTTAGAATCATATCAAAAATGCTGCCTTATGAATGGCTACTGCTTGACTGATGTATTTTTATCCCTGTTTGTCTCTTTGGCTCAAGTCAGGTTGGATCTTCATCCTGACATGTGGAGTTTAAACTGTGTGCTCCTCTCCTTTATCAAGAGCAGATATGTTTGAACTCTGCATTTGTGGCATAAATTCAAATGACACATTCACTTCTGCCTGTCACTCTGAAAAATGATCCCATAGTCATTTATGCACAACCTCGGAAGCTGTAGTCAGGCCATGCACATGATTGGTGTGTAAAAGAGATATAGTTCCAGACATCACACACAGACAGACAGACACACACACACACACACACACACACACACAAAAGTGTGATTCTACCGAATAGTATTCTTTTAGCAACTCACCATGTCAATGACTGTAAGATGACCATATGAAAACACAATAGCGTTGGGTGGGTTTGCAACTGGTAGGAGAAAAGCAAATGAAGTACAAAGAGTCGCTGGCAGCATGATGTACAGAGGGTTGACGTGAATGGCTTCAGACTGTCCAAGAAGAGCAAAAAGAATCAGAGTAAAATGGTGAGGGTAGTTATCAACAAATGAACAGATTTGTTACCATTAGCTCTTCAAGGAATATAAGATTATAAGACTAGATGTAGTTTTAACTTGAAGGACAATTTCCAGAATTTTTGCTCTTATCTGGCCATCATTGCTTATTTAAACAATAGAGTCTGATTTGTTTGGGAAGTAAGATAACACTTATTTCAGAAACTTAAAAAAATAGCAATTGCTATTTACTCATTTGGTGTTATATGCTGTGGTGTTATTAATACGTACATAATACATTACACTAAATAAATATATGAGATATATATTTATAATAATCTTATGAAATGGCTGCTAGAACCTCAAATAGCAGATGAGAAAACTGAGACGCATAAAGGTTACTTTAACTTATCAGGTACAAGGCTGACAAGCTATAGAAGAGCCTCGATGGCCTTTCATTGTGTGTCTAATTCTGGCATCAACTTTCCTGCTTCTGTAATGTTTAATTTAATGTTTGCTTAAGGAGCATCGCAAAAGTGTTACCACTATTCTTCACACATTTTGGTAACTGTATCATCTTATGGGAAAAAAAGGCAGAGAAACCTTCAATGATATTTTACCAATATAAACACCCTACATTTATTTTTCCAAGTTGAAGCAGCAGCTCAAGCAGTCCCCTGAGCGGGTAGGCAGAGCATTTCCAGAAAGGCAGTTCTTAATTTGAAGTACTTTCCTTTCAGCAAACTCATCTGTCCCAAAAGGAAAACATTTAACTGAAAGCTAACTGTTTTCTTGTAATTGCTCTAGAGGTGGGAGGAGAAAAAACAGCCTTTCTCCTTCTCTTACAGCAAACCCACTTCTGACTTTTTCTATTTGTCCCTGGGCAATAGTGAACTGTGTCTAAGCTATTTAAAGCTGAAGTGCAAGTTCAACTTATCCCTCGTTCTCAAATCGCTTCTATGAAGCACAGCTGAGCAATTCAATCACAACATTACTGGGGGAGATAAGTGAGTGTTAGAGATCTGAATATGAAATTTTCCAGGAAACAACAGCACCTCCAGCCTTACAGTTGGAATTTTGACACTCTCACTTATTTGCAAATGAAAAAAGCGGGACAGAGATTAGGAAAAGCTTTCACTTAAGATTATGACACTTGGATGTGGTAGAAAATAGTTCTCAAAGCAATATTTCCTAAACAGATATTAATGCAAATGAAAACTGTTCTCTAAGTTTCTAGTAGGAAATCCATTTAAGCAAAAAATTAAAAGATTCCATGACATATTGTGAGGATCTGCATTCCTATGGAGAAAATTACTCTTAGGAGAGATTATAAATGGAGAAATGAGAAACTCACCAATGGTGCTAATATTGGGAAGAGGAGAGTAATGGTAGCTGGATTGCTAGCTACCTCCGTCAGAGATGTGACAAGCAGTGAGGATATCAGAATTATCAACCAAATTGGTAATGAGCCTAGAGGAGTCAGTTTATCTCCTATCCACTTAGACAGTCCAGAGGCCTAAAAAAAAAGTTTAGAATTTTTGTTGCTCATTAATATTACAATCTAACTAGACATAATTTTAGTACAAGACGGCATTATTTGCTGTGAGAACTCAGTTTCTAAACAATAAACTTTTTAAGATTTACTGATTTGTATTACAAAGGCAGATGTACAAAGAGGAGACAGAGAGAAAGATCTTCCATCCACTGTTTCACTCCCCAAATGGCCACCATGGCTGGAGCCGAACCAATCAGAAGCCAGGAGCTTCTTCCAGGTCTTCTATGTGCAAGGTCCCAAGGCTTTCTCAGGAAACAGGCAGGGAGATGGATGGGAAGTGGAGCATCTGGGACACAAACTGGTGCCCATATGGGTGCCTTGTACATGCAAGGTGAGGACTTTAGCCACTAGGCTACCATGCCAGGCCCTCTAAACTATAATTTAAATCTCTTACATCTCTGTGATTTTGAATATCCAGGCAGTTTAGTGTGGACACACTACTACTTAGTCTTCTTTCAACATTGCCAACATGAATTAGGAAGTTGAATTGTCTTTCCACATTTCTTTTCAAAAATTTGAATTCTAAGAAGAGAATATATGCAGCTTTAACAAAATATCAACCATTATGATTCACTTCTTCCTTCCTCAAGCTATATCCTCCAGAGACACAAACCTTGGCCTTTTCCTGGTTGTTTGTAGATCTAAGTATACAAATTGGTAGTTGTTTAGTAATCTTTAAAATAATATTATAATCATACATCAAATATACACGTTTGGACATTCTTCACTGACTTCCTAGCTAGTTATCTAAGGGATCAGTTTCTTGCGTTACCCATCAAGTGCAGGATTTGGATTGGAGTTGAAGTCAGTACCAGGCACTGATCTGGGGTGTGGCTTCCAGAAGGTGTTGCAGCTGCTCTGCTGGATGCTGTCCCCTTTTAACTTCATTTTCACACTGTTACGAAAGTTTAACATTTGCAAAGTTCTAGGACTGAAATAATGACCCCCCCCCCCCAGCAGTTTTAACTTATTGTTCCATTTTCTGGATCTTCAGTTCAGTTCTTTAGAAATTTAATTGTATAGGGGACAGAAAGATTGGCTACAATAAGATGAGGTGTTGTTCTGTTTTTATCTATCAAATGGAAGAGCAAAATTTAGCCTCTTCTGGTGAGATTTAAATGAGCTGCTAGTTTTTGTTCATGACAAACTAGGACTGGCATCCACAAAGTTCTGATGACAAGCAGTTCCTCAGATTCCATTTGTGCTTTGTATATTTATATTTACAATACACACAAATTGCAGAGGTATTCTATTTATATTTTAGCTTATATTTGATCATGACCTCAGGTGAAAAAATGTTGTCTACTTTTTAAGCCAAATTGACACAAGCTCATCGTAGAATGCATGTACTTTAGAAAAGAGTTTATCTATATATGATCAGATGTTTAGAAGATTATACCACATGTTGCTTTGCCTCTATGAAGGTGGTTGGAATCAATTTCTTACCTCCAAGGTTTCAAAATTGCACATGAGATGCTCTGTTATTGGACTCACTTCCTGTCACTTAGAGACTTAGTAACGTCCGCAAGTCTGCAAGTCTTGTCTGTGATTTCTCTTTCTCTCTGAAATTCCTCAAGATGAATATTGAGTATTTTGAATTGCTGCTAAGACTTTCTTATCTCTCTTAAATATTACCATCTTTTGTCTTACTGTTTTATTTTTGGGATTATGTTCCAACTTCACTTCCAGTTCTACTACTGAATGTTAAACATTTCTACAGTTTCTTATACATTTTTTGTTGCTTTTTAAAAATTCTCTGTTTTTCATGATACAGTTCCTTAGGCTCAGGGATTTCCCCTTTGACTCCCACCCCCCACTGTTTTCCCCTATACTGTAACAATACTTTAGTCTCTCAACAACAGTCACAGGTCCATCGTTGGGCTATTTAAGTGTATCTTGACAGTATAGGTACAGAGAAGGTTATAAAGCCCAGCATTATAGTATCAATATACATTTAATGGTTGTGTTGGGAGTCCATATTTGTAAGTCTTCCTCCAAACACAGGTTTGCATTTAGGCCACCTCACTGAGTTAATCTGCTTTCCAGTTCCCAAATACTTCCATAAACCTATAGATAAATCAGCTTATTTTTTGGTTCATTTTTCCTATTGCCAGCATATAGGTATCACCTTTATTAATTTTTGTACTCCTCCAAAGCTAGTTATTCCTCAAATATAGGCTTTCTATTTTCTGTAAATCATGGGCCTATTGACTGTGTAAGCTAGACTTTTCAATATGAATTGACAAATTTTTGTTCAGTTATTGCCATTCTAGTAAACATTTTAAAAAAACCACAATAGTATTAGCATTAATGGGGAGCATGGAAGGAGAAATCCCTGAACCTATGGGACTATGCATCATGAGAAACAGAAAGAAAAGGGAGAGAAAAAAAAGTGTTAACTCTTCCATGTTTAACCAAGGAGAACAATTTTGAGGATTCTGTGAGAGGAGAAATGGAGGAATTATTCATTTATAGAATTTTGAAAGTGACTACTGACTCATAAGAAATCAGCCAAATGGTGATAGAAGTGAGTTGCCTGAAATAAAGGCAATTACAGCGAGGTGAATTGTAACCTATCACCTCACTATTCCGCAACAGAACAGTCACTGATTCCAGAAAACTGCCAGACTAATTACAGTATTGAAAAAAATGTGGATTGTTTAAACCTCTTTGTAGAAACGGGCTCTAGAGGCATGTGTTTCCAGCCTTGTGACATCAATGTGGCCTTTCGGGGACAGGATAATTTTGAATGTGCTGTGGAAATCTGTGCCAGGCTCTGTGGAACGGTAGACTCTGCCCCATGGCTTTCCTAGTTCTCCAGCTTACAGGAGCTAGCATTCTGCATTGTGCACACATGTTTGCATTGCATTAGATCTTGCTAGTATAGGGTCTGCCCAATGCTTTCCAAACTGTTTTGTGGTGCAGACTAGAGGGAACCCAGACAAGCCAAGTTAATAACAATACCAGGCAGCCTTGCTAATTCTGATTTCCTCACAATTCACACTAGTTCTTGTAAGAATGAGAATGTTTTATTATGAGAAACCATGTTTTTTTTTCTCCTAACTTCATACAAAAAGTAAAAGTTGTCATATTTCTACCATTTTGGGAGGGGCAAGCAAATTGTGGTATTAAGAACTGATACAATTTCTAAGTTACTGCTAATTACTTAAACTCATTAGGAAATAAAGTGAACATATATACAAACATATTCCATTAAGAGTCACTTTACATATTAATTTTATGTAAAGTTTTTCATACTGAGACAGATGTCAAATTAAATTTTTTTAAACTTCACATTCTTTCTCATGCTACTACATCACAAAAAAATTATGTTTTATGTTTTATGCTTGGAGTCTATAAAAATTCTTGAACTTTGTACTTGCCTTATCTGTATGTTATATTCATAGCACAGCTGTTAAACCTTGTATCATTAAAACGGTAGGATAGGGCCCAGCACGGTAGCCTAGTGGTTAAATTCCTCGCCTTGAACGTGCTGGGATCCAATATGGGTGCCAGTTCTAATCCCAGCAATTCCACTCTCCATCCAGCTCCTTGCATGTGGCCTGGGAAAGCAGTTGAGAATGGCACAAAGCCTTGGGACTCTGCACCTGTGTGGGAAACCTTGAGGAAGTTCCTGGCTCCTGGCTTCGGATTGGCACAGCACTGGCCGTTGCAGTCACTTGAGGAGTGAATCATCAGATGGAAGATCTTTCTGTCTCTCCTCCTCTCTGTATATCTGACTTTGCAATAAAAAAATGAATTAATCTTAAAAACAAAATAAAAAATGATAGGATAAAAGTGAATATGCCACAAGCTTGAAAATCCTCATACTCTTCCTTTGAACAGTTGTAGTTAATTGTCCAGTGTCTTATACATAGAGTATTACCTCACACCCATCTGCCAGGGCAAACCCTCCACCGACAAGAATGGCTATGTCCCAGGGCATGAATGTCTGGAATTCTTTCCAAGTAATCAATGGAGCGTAATCAAAAGCAACTGTAAAGCAAAAATCCCGTTTAGATATTGTTTCACATATCATTATTTTTCAACTATGCTTTTTAAAAACACTCTCACAGAAAACGTACAATGTCCCTATATTATATTTTTGGTGTGCAATCCTTATATTAATTTTAAAGAAATTTCACCAAAATTTTGAGTGAGTCTGCTCAGCCTGTGTGAAGCATTATACAGTAGTGCCTCAGGATCTTTGTGGGGTTGAGTCTCGGTCCTGCCTGCAGACACCTCAATCTCAGGATGCTCACATCCCCTATGTAAAAAGGAAGTTTCAAGAAGTCTGTGGAGGTGCTTTCATATCCTTTGAATCATCTCCAGTCTACTTATGAACCTTAATATAAAGTGATTTGTAAATAGCTCTTTCATTCAACCATTATGACAATGCAAAATGTCTGCACATCTTCAATACAGATACAAGCTTTCCTTTAACAAAACGACTCTATTTCTCAACATTGATAACAGAGGTACGTGACCTCTCTACATGTCTTGTAAGTCAAATTGAATGCTCTCACTCACTTTTTTAAAAATAGTGACTCTAGGTTATGGTATGGGGTTACTTTAGTTGTGCTACAAGAATACCATTAGACTGAAAATGGTCTTTGTCTTCGAACTCCTCACCTTTTCAGATCATGGTATTTATTACCAAAGGCTCCTCATGAACCAGTGATTTTCTTGTTTCTATATTTGCCAATGGTAAAATAAATTCTGACTATAGCAGGGGAAGTAGGTTTTTCACAGCAGGACCCTGACTGGTGCATAAGAAAATCCACTCAGTTTTGCAAAGTAAGGTGATCCTTCTTGTGGGCGGAGACATGCTGGCTGAACAGATCCCTGCATTGTGGAAACAGGGCATACCAGGTCACAGAATGTGTTGACATGGCCTTTTGTTCTGTTCTAAATGCTAACTGAAAATGAAGAAAATTTATATGTGAGCGTGTGATTGTGTATCCCTCTTTTTGCTCTTTTGTCTAATTAATTCAGAATTATAAATGATACTCAACCAATGTTTCCTGTAGGCGTAGTTTTAGTCAGTTTCTTAGCTGGTATAATAAAGAACAGGATTCCTACAAGTAAGGCAACAGTTGAATCTGTAGCAAAACCAGGGTACCTGAAAAAGGAAAAATGTGTGTATTTAAAAAGTGTCTTTAAGAGCTTATGTGAGGAACATTTGTTGATTATGTTGTAGCACATAAGTAGTGATGGTTGTATAAAGTATTTAGATACTTTACTCTAAAACTTATGGATTTCTTTTGAGAAAGGGTCTTGGGATTTTACATGTTTTCTGACCCCTCCTTTTTGGGCAGGAATCTGTACCAAAAAATGCTTCTCGTTGTTGGTCTGTTTATCAGTTAGGCAATGGCTGGGCAATTCTTGTGCCACCACTCTAAGATCATTGCATTGTGTCTGAAGGCTCAACAGAAGAATAAGAGCCTAGAGGACTTTGGCCTCATAGACATATATACACACATACATTTTATTTTATTTGTGTGTGTGTGTGTGTATGACATATATATACATATATATAAAATGGTGATATTTATTTATCTTGTACTTATCACATGGTCCCTGCTCTCAACTTCAGTGGAAGTTGACCCACAGAAGTATTTTTATAACTTTGTAGTAGCACATCATTTGCCCATATAAGCTCCCATCTTCCCTGTCTCCTTGGGAACAGAATTATAATCCTCAGACTTCAAATGAAGCCCTTTTTCCTTTTGTTAAAACTTACGGATATCTAACTAACTGAATGACGTAACACATTGGAACTAAATATCTCTAATTGCATACCCACTGTTTCTATATATTTCCAGTTAATTTCATTAGAATATGCAGACACTAGGACACTGTGACAATTTTTTCTCATAGATAAGCTTAAAAAACTGCTCAGCAGTTTTTCTTTGAACTAGTGCTTTTAATGAAATTGTTAGAGAATTGAAGTTAAATAATTGCTAGCCTAGACAAAACACTCTATATTTGATTCATAACATGTCTTAAATTGAGGAAAGGAGTGATGTTTTCAGAGTCTCCAAAGACCTACTGTAAATTGTGAAAAGGAATTGATCTATTTCCTAGGATATAACACCTGCTTCTGCAGTTATAGGCCATTCCCTTGTCATACAAATGAAATCGACCCATGTAATGCTTTGCACCCTATGAAACTCAATCAAGTATATTAATTATTGGATGGGTTTGTGCAGTGCTCATAAATGATAACTGTACAAATTGAGAATGATTCAGGAACAGATGGGGTCTTAGAATCACCAGACCGTTCCAGCAAATGAGACAGATTCCCAGGAGCCCAGACAGCTAAGAAGCACCTGGAGACCAGACGCAAATGAAACGGGCATCAATAATGGGAATCCTGTCTTAGAAGTTGGAAATATTAGTGAATATACTTGTGTAGCCTGAGAAGAAAAATATATACCTCTCCTTAATAACCCTGTAGTAGCTGAGTACTATAGGAGAGTCTACGTTCCTATACCAAAAAACTGAATAATTAAGGAAATATATTATCTCCTTTTATTGAATAGTTTTTAAAGGAAACTTCTTTGACTAAAAACATAGCTCAGCAATTTATTGCTTAAACTTGGCTGATGCTTATCATTTTATTGTTGCTTATTTCTCATTTTAAGTTATAGTTGTTGGTTGATTTTTTGCCACACTGGGCACCATGTAACTTGATTTTGCTTTATGTGAAAAGACACATTGAATTCACTCCAGTTTCAAACAGATGGAATGAAAACCTTAGGTGGTAGCTATGAATCTTGGTATGCCAAGCTAGCTTCAAAAATTCTGGATGTTTGAAACTTTTACATATCAAGCAAGGCACAAATATTAAAATAATTTAGTTCTCACAAGACTTTCTATATTTTTGATTTTATAGCAACTTCTATTTTTAGTGTATTACAAATTTAGATTGTCTTTAGTTTGCAAAATATTAAAGTTATGCAATTTCTATTAGCTTTTGTTAGCTATGTGAGTTTACATTTTCAAATCCTATCCCTTCTCAACCCTTTGTTCTTTTTACTATTGTTGTTTCTCAGAATTCTAAGTAGCATGAGCACCTGCACATAGCACACACCTTGTTTTTCTGCTGCAAGCAAAACATCTCCTGAATTATGTTTTCCTCCAATAAAGAACAGAAATTAGAAGTCAATTAAATTGAATTCCCTACTGGGATTTCTGCCTAGTTTTTATTAGCTATTGTCTGATTTAATTCTTACACATTGGTGTTTAGAGAAAGACTCTCCATACTCACAATGTCAGAAGTTGGATTTTGAATTAGGGTGAAGAATTATTTTTATGTTGCTTTAGATTCCATTTTGAAACCACAAAACACTAACCAAGGATTAAACAGTAACTTTGAAAATTGGATGATTCCTTTTCATTCCAAATGGAGTTATTGTTTTGTAGCTACATTTTGACCTAGTCTGGCTATTGTGAGAATTTGGAAAATGACTCTCTCTCCCTCTCTTTCAAAGAATAAGTAAGTATTTTAAAAAGCTAATCTTTTAAAATGTACTACCACATGGCATTGCTTAATTTGCGTAGTCACTATAAATTTAGATTCAAACTTTGTACCTGTTAAAGCATGCTTGTAATATCTACAACAGAAAGTTCTGTGCCAGCAAGAAAGGAATTTCTTTATTGGCAAAATACTTAGAAAAAACAGTAATATTTATTCTAACAATTTACTTATCAAAAGGCAGAACCATAGAGAAAGGATAATAGAGAAGTCTTATCTTTTGCCCATGTCCCAGCTGATGACAATGGCCAGGACTGCACCTGGCTCTAACCAGGAGCCTGGAACTCCAGTTGGAGCCCGTATCAGGGATGCATGAGCCCAAGCGTTGACCCATCTTCCATTGCTTTCATGGTGTATTAGCAGAAAACTGGATCAAAAGTGGGGCAGTTTGGACTTGAACTTGTGCTTGTATGTCATGTCAGCATTGCAGCTAGCGGAGTAACGTGCTGTGCCACAAAATCAGCTCTGAGTTGAATACACTGAGACCCCAAATTCTGTTTTATTCTCCACCAGATCCATGAAGGTTTGCAGAGAATTATGTGGCAGGAAGCCCAATTCAGATGTTTGTTGGATTTAGGAATTAATGATATTTCAGTGAAAAACAAATTGGGAATCCAAATCTTAAAATTATTTCTATGATAGGCACGAGGGTTCATATTTTACAAATCTGTGCTGTAATCTTCTTCACTTTACGTGATTCTGTAAGAACTACTGATATGTGAGATAAGGAAGGTAAAATTAGTTCTGACCTGGCTTTTAGCATTAGCTCTTAAAATCTGTCTTATTATTTATCCAGAAATTCTTTGACTAAAACAAGGGCTAAGCTGAATTTGAAAGGAATTAGTGTAAAAATGTATATAAATTTTAAAAGTCCAAAATACTAAATCAAATAAATAGTTCTCATAGAAGCAAAAATATGATGCTAAAATATAGAAAATGAATTCATATTAGATTATTAAGAGGCATTGAATAGTTTTATTTCATGAGATATGCATTTAGATAACATGCCCTGCATGGAAAGTAAATTACTGTTTTAAATGCTTTTTATTGTCTTCTTTTCACAAAAGAAAAAACAGAGAACTACATGGCTTACCCAAACTGAAGGGCTGTGACTAGACCCCAAGCAGTGTGGTTCCCGTATTCCTGCTTGTAACTGCTACAGATGATGGTCTATCTGCAGAATACCTTGCTGCTTCTGAAAGGATGGGGAGCACTTTGTGTAATGGGCCCTGGCTTTTAGCTGCAAAGGTTACCTTTTTGGTGGTCTCAGCAGAGATGTCTTGCCTTAACTGAAAAGGCTAGAAATTATAATTTTCTTTTTCAGAGCAGAGCTTTTGGCCTAACAGTTAAGATATCCAAGTGTCTAGATTTAGTTCCTGACTCTTCTCCCAACTCCCACCTTCTGTGAATGCAGAACCTAAGGGGCAGCAGGTGGAGCCTGAAGTAACTGAATTCCTGCCACCTTAATCATTGAATGGAGCCTTGGCTGCTGGATTCAGCCCCAGAACAGCCCTGGCTGTTGCAGTTCTCTCTCTCTCTCTCTTTCTCTCTCTCTCTCTCTCTCTCACACACACACACACCCCAAATAATTGCAACATATATTCAAGGCAAAGAAAAAAATTCAATTCTCCAGATTTATAGGAACTAAAATAGAAGCACAGTGGGAAATGGGAAGGACTGGTAAACGTAATGGATAGACTTACTCTGAAAAAAGTGACGACCAGCCAGAAACAAACCCGGGTTCTCTGCTAAACCATAGCAGGGCCATCACAACAAACAGAACCAAGGTCACGATTTCTTGAGGCCTGTGGAAAAAGGCCAGTGCTATCAGTTCTTATGTTCTCAGTCTGAAACCCCATGCACTGCAGTCAGGCACAATTTTAACTGAGCTCTCAACACTGTGGAGACGGCATAGGCAAGCAATTGGAAGCATCAGTACCCAGGGCAAAGGCACTTGCTCCTCTGTGGGATCTCTCAGCTTCTGCTCACCCAGTTTCTCAGGTTTCAGTGAGATATTGGTATGTATTTTGCCATGTTATAGTCAAAATTTTAGCAAATTTGGGACTCTGAACACATGTTGTATATGTCTTATACATTTCCTTCCCTCCCTCCCTCCCTCCCTCCCTCCCTCCCTCCCTTCCTTCCTTCCTTCCTCCCTTCCTTCCTCCCTCCCTCCCTCCCTCCCTTCCTCCCTCCCTCCCTTCCTTCCTCCCTCCCTTCCTTCCTTCCTCCCTTCCTTCCTCCCTCCCTCCCTTCCTCCCTCCCTCCCTTCCTTCCTCCCTCCCTTCCTTCCTCCCTTCCTTCCTTCCTTCCTTCCTTCCTTCCTTCCTTCCTTCCTCCCTCCCTCCCTCCCTTCCTCCCTCCCTTCCTTCCTTCCTCCCTTCCTTCCTCCCTCCCTCCTCCTCCCTCCCTCCTCCCTCCCTCCCTCCCTCCCCTCCCTTCCTTCCTCCCTCCTTCCTCCTCCCTCCCTTCCTCCTCCCTCCTCCCTCCTCCTCCCTTCCTTCCTTCCTTCCTTCCTTCCCTTCCTCCTTCCCTTCCTCCTCCCTCCCTCCTCCTCCCTCCTTCCTTCCTTCCCTCCTTCCTTCCTTCCCTCCTCCCTCCCTTCCTTCCTCCCTCCCTCCCTTCCTTCCTTCCTTCCTTCCTTCCTTCCTCCCTCCTTCCTCTCCTTCCTTCCTCCCTCCCTCCCTCCCTCCCTCCCTCCCTTCCTCCCTTCCTTCCTTCCTTCCTTCCTTCCCTTCCTTCCCTCCCTCCCTCCCTTCCTCCCTCCCTTCCTTCCTTCCCTCCTTCCCTTCCTTCCCTCCTTCCCTTCCTTCCTTCCTCCCTCCCTCCCTCCCTCCCTCCTTCCTTCCTTCCTTCCTTCTTCCTTCCTCCCTCCTCCCTCCTCCCTCCTTCCTCCTCCCTTCCTTCCTTCCCTCCTTCCCTTCCTTCCCTCCTTCCCTTCCTTCCTTCCTTCCTTCCTCCCTTCCTTCCTTCCTTCCTTCCTTCCTTCCTTCCTTCCTTCCTTTCCTTCCCTCCCTCCCTCCCTCCCTTCCTTCCTCCCTCCCTTCCTTCCTTCCTTCCCCTCCTTCCCTTCTTCCCTTCCTTCCCTCCCTTCCTTCCTTCCTTCCTTCCTTCCTTCCTTCCTTCCTTCCTTCCTTCCTTCCTTCCCTTCCTCCCTCCCTCCCTTCCTTCCTCTCTCCCTTTCTTTTCTAAGAAATGACTTGTGGTTTAACAGCACCTGTCTATGCATTTTCATGTGTGTGCATACACCTGGAAGGACATACCTCATTGGCCCGAGTTTTTGGTATTCTTGCTTAATCACATTAGCACAAGCTTTTTCTTTGGCTGTTTTGGTTTTGCCACATTTGAACATCTCTTTAAAACTGAAAAGAACCATTAAGTCTATTAATCAGGACATTCCTTCACCACAATCCTGCTTTATGCAAGAAATTACTGTGAAAATTTCATAGTGCAAATCTTCCTATTGATTATGGGAATCTACATTTTCCACCAGAACAGCACCTCTGTCTTCCTTGAAGGTCCTAGTCTCTTTTTTTTCCCCTGTTTTTAGCTGGCTTGCTCACTTTTCACTACTTAGTTTTTATTACATATTATCCATTTAATCTTATATGGATCATTTTTTTCCCAAGTCCTTTTGTACTGTTAGACTTTTTGTCACATGTCACTCATCATTAAGGAATACTGCATTACATACTCAGACCTTATCTTGTAAAATATGTTTGTTATATGTTGATTCTAGCCATTGAATATGTGTAACTCCTTTCCACCTGTCATGTAGCAGACTATTAGGCGGGCAGGGGTACTGTCATACATAATTTGTTTGGTCTGGTATTGCCAAACAGTGGCATATAAAGAGAATATTTGTTTTATACTTTCAATATTTTCTTTGGGAGATTTCTCAGTCGATGCCAGATCATCAATTTTCACAAACTGTATACAACTTGAGTTGCACACAACTCAGGGAAAATCACATATATTGATTATGATCAGAGTCCAAAATAGGTATAGATTCAGAAGTAAAACCATTCTATTATGTGTTTTCCGTAAGTTTTTCCTCCCCCGTGTTCTAATAATAGTCTTCCAGGTTATTTGCGACAGTACCTGTCACACTTTATTGCTTTTACCTGTGTGTTTTTATGGTTACTTTCCCCTGTGACTAATTTTCTGTCCTGAAGTCCAGGTGCTTCCAAACTTTGAATAGTTTTTGTGAGTCATTGCTCTAGATGTAGATTACAAAACCAAAAACCTCCTGAGGAAGAAGCAAATGAAAAAGGGACACAATTCCTGTGGATTATCTCTTGAATGTTTGTGAGCAGCTCAGGAACTGGAGACAGCTTTTCCTATAAAATCATTGGGGAAATGAAAGTGTTTATAAGGGAGTGAAGAGTAAGACTGGCAGTAGGAGAGGTTAGCTATCAGGCAGATGCCTATGATGTTTTGTTTTGTCTTGTTTTCTTTCTTATTACTCTGCTATGCAATCTTGTTTGGAGTGTAATTCCCTGTGAAATGGAAAAATTCCCAATTTCTCAATTCCTTTTTGCTAGACATTTGAGTACTATTTAATAAGGGATAATTAGAGTGACTTGCTGCACCCAATGATCTGTTCAGTGCCCTGTAGCTACTGCCCATAACATGTGTGGTTACATTTTCCACCAACATTTTCAAGTAAAATACTGTAAGGTAATTATATTTGCTTATTAAGTCTTACAAATGTGATTTAAAAATTTTTATCTGACAAAAATTGTTTATATGTTTGAGGTATCATGTACTACTTATATGCATATATAGAGTATGTAATATTGAGAGAAACATCCAATATGTGATTATTATCTATAATCACCCTATTGTGCAATAGACCATCAAAACTCATCCCTATCTAGCAATAATTTAATAGGCATTAATTTGCCTTTCGCCCATCAATCACTCCCTCTTCTATCCTCTCAGCTGCTCAGATCAACGATCATACCCTCAACCTCTATGATACAAATTTCTGAGATTCACACATGAGTGATGTCATGTAGTACCTGCCTTTCCATGTGTGGCGGTTTTCATTGAACCTAATTACCCCCAGTTCCATCTTTCTTGTTGCAAAGAATAATATCCCATCCTTTTTACAGTTGAATATCATTCTACCATGTGTATGTCACATATTTCTTCTACCCAATAACCAGTGGATGGCTACTTTGATTTCTTCCATTTCTTGACTGTGGTGATCAATACTGTAATAAACATGGAAGCACAACTGTCTTCTTGATAGGTTAGTAGTATTTGGATTATTCACCCAGGACTGAAATTGCTGAATCATGTAGTGCTTCTATTTTTAATTTATCAAGGTCCCTCTCTATTGTTTTCCACATTGATTGTATTTTATGTATGCTCAGTGATTTCCTTTCTCCATATCCTTGTCAACATTTTGTTATCTGTTTACACCAGGTAGCTGTTGTGACTGTGCTGAGTTGATCTCTCAATGTGGCTTCAATTTGTGTTTCTCTAAAGATTAATGATGTTGTGCAATTGTTCATGTTTTTGACTATTTTTATGTCTTTTTTTCTGAAATATACCTTTACATATACTACTTATTTTCAAACTGAATTATTTTGGGGTTCTTATGCTATTGAGTTGGGTCCCTTGTAGATTCTGTTTATTAGCCTCTTGTCAAATGTATAAGTTTCAAATATTTTCTCCCATTCAGGAGGGACTCTGTTTATTGCTTTCTTTACCAGGAAGCAGCTCTGTAGTTTGATGAAATACCATTTGTATATTTTGGCTTTTGATTTCTGGATTATTGGGATTTGATCCAAAAAGTTCTTGGATATTTGGAATACTCAGAAGTGTTCTCTCTGTGCATTCTTCTAGTAGCTTCATGGTTTCAAGTCTTATATTTAGTTCTCTAATTCATTTGAGGTTGACCTTTTGGTCTATGGCCATACCACCCTGAACGCATCCGATCTCGTCTGATCTTGAAGGTTGACCTTTTGTATTTGATGAGAGGTAGGGATGTAGTTTAAATTTTCTGCCTTGTGGACACTCAATCTTCCCAGTACCATTTATCCAAATGAATGATCTTATTTCAATGCATGTTCTTGCCACTTTCACCAAATGTCATTTGTGTATTTATGCATTTACTTCTAGGCCTGCTATGGTGTTCCAGTGGTCCATACATCTGTTTTTAAAATGCCAATATCATTGCTGTTTTAATTGCTGCAGTTTTCTAATTTAAAGTCAAGTTGTGGAATGCCTCCTGCTTTGTTCTTTTTGTGCAAGAATTCTTTGACTCTTCAAAGTCTTTTGTGGTTCCACAAAATTTTGGTAGGGATTTCTCTATATCTTTGAAAAATGCCATTGAAAAATGATTGCAGTTATGATCAGTAAAGCACTTCAGGTAGCAGCACACTGGTGACGATGATGCTGCCAATCCGTGAACATGGATGTCTTTACATTTCTGTGTGTTCTCTTCCAACTTAGGTGGGTATAATATTTTTGGCTTGCAGGTTTCTTCCATTGTGTGCTATCAAAGTCTCATCTTTGAGATGAGACAAATATCAGCAGGACAGACTCTAATCACCAAAGCAAGGCCCTAAGTTATCTTTTCTGACTTACGTTTAGTAGCTAAAGCTTTTCCATTGTCTGCTGGATGTTGGTGGCATGGTTATGTATGCATCCTGAATAGCCTGGCTAAGGAGAATCTGAAGTCTGCAGGTATGAGCTGGGTAGCAGGGCCTATGTAGCACCTTATCTGGCACACTGTTTTTAATTGTTATCTCAAGTCTAAAGCCTTCTCATGCTTCTAACAAAGAGGAGAGGCCTTGATCTCAGTATGCTGCACAATTTAGAGATGGGAGAGTGGTGCTATGGACAACTGTTTCATTCCTGCTTTCTTCCATTCACCTTCTCATACTAAAACCCAGCACTGTGATCTCAGATGGATACCTTGTATGCTGTTGTGGAAATATTTTTATAATTTCAATTACTTTACTGTCTAATGCTGGTCTTGAAATTTTACTCATTGACACACACAAATACTAATATTACAAGAAACTAATCTATGATCTACCTTGAAATCTATCTCTAGAAAGAGAAAAGAATGTGAAAAGCACAATTTAGAAATTGTTTTCCACCAATACGTACTTTGTCATTTTGGTTGCAGAGAATAAATAGTTAAGTCAAAGCCAAATGGCTTTATTACAAATGGAGGTTAATGCCCTCACAAAGGAAGTGATGAGGCTTATGACAACACATTCCCCTCTCCATTTAAATAAGCTCTGTGGCACTGATAGATGAGCTTCTTTCCTCGAGTATGCTGGGGTCATTTATAATGGGTGAGTTAACTGTGTTAACAGTCAACACACTAATCAGAATGTATGGTAGGCTGCCAGTGCAGTGTCTGATAATTTCTGTTTGTCGATCTAAAATCTCTGGAAGTGAACTTCCTGGCAGACTGAAAAGGACAATAAAAAACTGGCTGGAGCATGAAATTGTGTCATGTCTAACCAATAGTGGACAACAAGAGGGTTGTTTAAACACGCCACTGGTCATGATTTACGGGCTTGGCTTGACATGTACTTTACAGTATTTTTCCCCTCATAAACAGTACATTTAAAAATCTACCCTTTATTTATACGTCTCCTTTTAATGTGGCAGATCTGAAAATGATTGGCTATGTCTTTTTATATGGTCATTATATGCAGCAAAAAAAGAAACTGAAAACAAAGGTGGGTCTGTAATTGGACACTTTGTCCAGCAACTTGAGACTCCAGTCCTTTCTACACTACATTGCTATCTGTACAGTTGAGTCGACCCCCAAAAGCTTGGGTTTCCTGGGAGGGGCATTTAGTTTGCAGCTGGCCTCCCCGCCCAGGTGCCCACCTGCTGAAGTCAGTGACATTCCACACATTGGTTTCAGCAGGAGGACTGCCACATGCTGCTCCCACAATCTGGATAGAATTTATTTTGAATCATCAGAGTCATCATTCTACTTCTAACAAAACTGTGGCAGTTCTAAAGAAAAACGAGGAAGAGTTATCAAGAGAGGGAAATGTCAGTCCTTATGTTATCTGGCTTGGAAAATGTGGGCACAGGCATGACAGCGCATCTAACCATAGGTAGTATTTTGCTTTTCAGAGGAAGTACAAATAGGTGACTTCAGCCTTCCAGGATAACATGCTGTTGTTTTCATAAGTCCTTGAAATTATTTGAACTAAATCCTACAAAAATTAGGAGTTCTGTTTTTTGGGGGGAAAATTCTCAAAGGCTTACCATATTGCTACTTTCCCTTTATTTTTGGAGTATTATTAAATGAATTGAAAATGTAATATTTCATTTCAAATTTGAGAACCTTTTGTAAGTTTTAGAGCTGGCTGTCATCTAAATCACGTAATTCATTGAGACCTAAGAATCAGCAGCTCTATTCTCAAAGTGTTGTGTCGAAATTCTCTTCATGATGTGCATTTGATACCCCGGCAGCATCAGGAGTGCTTTACTGATCACCAGTTCTTACCTGGATATCTCAGTGTTGGACTTGGCCTAATATGTTAGAATCATAGTGCCGGCAGTGATCTGACTGGTCTTCTGGGTCAGTTCTATCATTTTATACTTGGAGGCACTGAGTAAACAAATCAGGACTTGAAAAGATTCCTTATCTACCATATGAGAAACTAAAATTTTATCTTTAGCCCCTTGTTTCCTAACCCAATGTTTTCCACAGAGAATATTCTCAAATCTTTATTATAGTTCACATTTCATAACTGATATCATCTTTGATATCTACATGAAATAGAAAGTCCTGCATGGTAAAATTGAAAGTCATTCCATAATCCAAGGAAGTCCCCTTGTTAAACCACTGTGTCCTGCTGGTCTTTTTACATCTCACGGGCTTAGAATTCAAAGGATACCTGCATGTATCTGCTTTTTACAAATCTCTTCCAACACAAATGTTGTTTCAGTGAGATTCTAACTTATCTTTACAAAAACAAAAACAAAAACAGAGAAAAACAAATATCTTTGTGCATCAGAATCACTGCAAATATACTTTTGTAAAACTTTGCTTTATCCCTTGTCTAACCAATGGCTGTGAATGGTCTACTGCTATAATTGATGACCTGTGGTTGCTGTTAATTTACTGTATATGGGTGACATGGTTATTTTTCTGCTAAATTATTGTTTGTAGTCATTGCTTGTATTCCCATGACAAGTCTCTGCTTCTTAAAACTAAAATACGTATCTGTGTCTGTCCCTTTTACAGTAAGAAAAATACTAAAATACAGCATGCATGGCAGATGTTAAAAGCACTAGGTAAGGAACTACAAACTTGGAATATAGAGAGCATGAATTAGCCACTGATGTGGGATAATTACTTACTTGAATCCTAGGAAAAGCCACTGGAGCCAGATCCAGGTCAAGAATAGAAGAATAATAGCAGCCGGGAAGGAGAGCAGGAACCACGATCCAAAGTTGATGCAGTGACAGTCAGGGTAGCGTCTGTGAAAACAGGATAAATATCCAGGGCAAGAGGAACAAATGAAGTCCTTTTGGTTTGTCATTGGCAAGAAATGACAAAGCAGAAGTCTGTGTCTTTCCTGTGCTGTGGACCAACAAGAAAACCCTTCTTCCTCATTAAGAAAGTTGCTGGTTTCACTCCTTGTCTCCATCTTGGTTCTGTAACTGCATAATTATTACTGCATCTCACAAAAGCAAAAAGCGATTTGTTGCAACTTTCGCCTCCTTGTTTCAGTATCTAAAGTGCTTTTGGAAAAAAGAGAGAAGAAAAACTTTGCACGAAAGCAGATAGCTATTAAATGCACAAGTAAGGAGTGTGTGTGTGTGTGTGTGTGTGTGTGTGTGTGTGTGTGTGTGTGTGTGTTTAGTGTTACTGCTCAGGTCAGCACTGTAGCAGAGAGGAAAGATACGCAGGCCGACCGATGGGACTGACTGCTGCCGATTCACTAAGAGCTGGCTTCACTGGCACCTAGGGGAGACCTCACCCAGCCCAGGTTGTCTCTCATCTGTCCTCTTTCCTCCACCCTGAAACATTACAGCCATCCTCCCAAGAAAAAACAGTCCATTCTTTTCATAATTAGTTGGCATTTTAGGGCTCAGTTCAATTGTCTGTTCCAAACCAGAATGACAAGCATCTCTGTGAGGTCTGGTGTTTAGTGCAGTAGTAAAGGTGTTTCGTGGGATGTCTGCCTCTGGTAGGGATGCCTGGTTTGAAGTTCTGCCTCTGTTTCTGATACAGCAAGTGGGAAATGGTTTAAGTAATGGGGTCCATATCACCCACACAGGAGACCTGGATTGAGTTTTGGGCTCTGGTATAGTGTGGCCCGGTTCTAGCTGTAATTATGGAATGAACCAGCAGGTGGAAGATCACTTCTACCTCCCTGATCTGTTTCTGTCTTCCTTTCAATAAATAAATAAATAAATAGAAAAAACTTTAAAGTCCTGTGGGAAATATCAACTTTTCCTTTATTTCTCAGTTTTCAGAGTTATTTTCAAGTTATAAAACTCATGCAATAACTAAATTATGACAACAAGTATGTTTTTCGGCAACCTTCCATTCATTATTCTAAAGTGTAGTTTAAATACCAGATGAATTCTATGTAGTCATAATTTTTTTTATTATATCATGCAGAAATAAGCATTCATTTATTATTTGGAATAAAATTTTATATGCAAAGTGTTTAAACAACTCAATGCTGTCTTAAATTCACGGTATCCATTGGCCTTTAACCCACAGAAAAACTTACTCCAAATGGTTTCCTTACTTGGCTTATTAATTCTGATTTAGTCCTTTCTATCCTAGTGTATCTGATAACTGCATATTTTAAAGGATATCACATGAAACTTCTCAAACTTTTATTTAAACAGACATTTTGAAAGAGGATGCTTTTGTTGTCAGGCTACCGTATCAGTAGAAAAAAGGTGAAATATTAGACTTTTTTTTCTTACCCCAAACTGTGTGCCAGAAAGGGAAACGAGTAACACCTTTCTCTTCCTGCAGTTAACAAGATGGCTTTGCATTAAATGTGAGGCTGGATGAGAGAGGATGATTCTAAGGCACCTTCAGCATGGGGAACTTCAATACAAATTTGCAACCGGTTGTTTTACAACTTTTTGTTTGGTAAGAATAATTTTGACACAGCTTCCTGTGAATCAGTTGACTCCCTTTCTCAGATTAACATAAACACATTGTTCTCAACTAGTTTACCAGTCTTGCCTTGTTATGCAAGCCTAGGTAGCCCAACAGACAAGACACATTTATAGTTCAAGAAGAAGAAAGAACTAATACAAGGGAGATTTAAAAACTGAATGTTGATCTAACTCCAAAATTGGCAATGGCCAAATTTCTTCTATGGCATTTGTGAGAGGAGTCATTTCTGAGAAATATCTAGTGCTCATTTGTGCAGGTGTTCATGATAACTGTTGAAACTGGCAACAGCTGCCAACTGACTTGCATTATTCCTGGCTCATTAGAAAAGGGGATAGGCTAGGGAGACAGACTCTGAATTTAGGACAACTACAAATACTTTTCCACTCCTTGCTTTCTGAACCTGTAGTGCAATAGTTCTGGTTTACCGATGGTTTGATTTTCTTTGTTTCAGAAACACATGGTCAACAGCTGTCCAAAAATATTAAAAGTCTCCATCTTTGGTTCTCCTCTCTCTTTCTCATTTTCTCTTTTTTATATCTCATATCTATATAAGTACAACCAGATATGAATGTATGTGTGTATGTATATTTAAAGGTTTTTATTTATTTGATCAGCAGATTTACAGGTCATTCATCTGCTGGTTCACTTCTAAAAAGGCCACAATAGCCAGGGCAGGGCCAGGCATTCACATAAATTTTATTGGCTTTTATCGTTATGATTATTTTATTATTAGTTGTTATTCTGAAGGTACTTTATTAATTTTTATCAATGAATATAGACATAAAATGTAGAGCACATTAATGTTTGTGCTATTTGTAGCTTAAGGCGCCACTGGTGAGCCTCAGCTACGACTCCTTGGATAAAGGAAGGATTGTACATTGTTTTTTAACACAGAACTAGCAACTTGAGCGTGTTAGCCTTTGATAATGCAGCAATCTTACAAGTTGCTTTCTATGTCTAGCATTGAATACTATGACTTTAATCATCAGAGAGCTATGCTTTTGATAATCTTCCATTCTTTATTCAGAAGATAGTTTGTGTGTGGTTTCAATAATAGCTGCTATGTTCAATGATATTGATGAATCAAAGCTACTTTACTATGAAAGAAGCAATTATCCCTAGTAATGTGAGTGAAAAGAATAAAATAATGATTTACTCAGCCTTTATAAGCTTGCAACCATCAAGGATGGTTAGCTGTGTTCGATGTGAAGGAAGTTTATGACGTTGTAAAGGTGGGGTACGACAAGAGAGGAGGAAATGGTAGTTAAGGAAATGATTTAACAGAGTTCCGTATGGTAGAATATCTAAAAGCAGAACCAGGAGTTGGCTGCTTTGTAAGAGCAGTGTAAGACAGGGAATTGTGACATGCTCACTGGAAGAGCATCTCAGGAGAGGAAAAGGGGCCAGGAGAAACACCAAGTAAGCTGCAGCTTCCTAAACATCTCCACCATTGCTTCTAACGCGTCCTCGAGTAAGGCCATTCTTTCCCCCACCCTTTGCTTCCATCATTTCACACATCCATGTCCGTGTTATTACTGTTTCTGTCCTCAAAGGTAAAACTAAAATGACATCTCATTCTTGTTCCTTCCTTATTTTGTCAAACTTGACAAAAAATAAAAGTAGACATAAATGCGCTGTCTGCCCTTTCTGCTCTTCACTCCCTTTCTGTGAATTCTGCCCTGCCTTCCTCCCTCCACTGAACCAGCCCTCATGGAGGATGGATGAGAACCACAGGCCTTTCACCAGCCAGCAGCACTGTGCTCAGACTCCTCACTGCTTTCCTGTCTCTACACTTTGGCAATGCCAATCAATCTGCAGAATGCTGTTCTGAACTGTGCAAAATATGCAAAAATGACTCCATTCCCTCCCTAGAGGAAAAACTCTTACAGAGTTTTGGTACTCTTTTTGTGGTGTTTGCTTTCATTTGATCCTTAACTGCCAGCATTTACTTCTAAGGTTGCTCCAAGTTGTGTGGACAATTTTCTTCAGTGATCCAGTGATGCAGCACATAGCTACATTCCTCTCTTGAACACAAATGCTGCCTTGTTTCTAAGAAGCAAACTTTTTAAAGGACGCAGCCTTGAGTATCTGACATTAGTTTGATGCTTAATCCACTGAACTGAAGAACGGCTTCCTCAATTGAAGTAATAATAATCAACCTTTATTGAGCACAGGCTCTGCATTGTATACTGTTGTGAGTGCTGTTTATTTTACATAAAACTGAAAACACTGAGAAAGAGGAGAGATTGCTTTCCTAATTTATTTCTGGAAGGGTGGCTGGCTTGGAGAACTTGCATTATTTGTCCAGAATGATTTAACTGGTAAATAGAAAAGCTGAGATTTGAATACAGATATTTTAACCCTAGAGTCTGTTCTATCATCTATCTATCTATCTATCTATCTATCTAAACATATTATACATTATATATCATCTTTGCAGTAAGGATATATAGAATATGTTCTTAACATAATTAATGTAAATTATCTAGCAACCGCTTTTTGCATGTCACTTTACCTTCCCCTATATGTCAAAAAGTCAAAATTACTTTACAAACCTCTTGCTTGCACGTATGTAAGCTTTGTCTACACTTGTTTAATCATACTGCAGTAGCGCTACTCACACATTGAAATGCTCGGTAAAGATTAAGTTGGTGGAGGTCCCGGTGATCGTTGTCAGTCCACCAATGGTAGAAGAGTAAGTAATGCACAAACACATGAGCTTACACATCATGTGGTTCTTCTTTGTTCGATATTTGGTTCCTGTGCCTGCGGTCTGTTCAACAACAAAACCTTTATGAAAACAGCTGTAACTGTGGTCAAAATAAGAAGCAAGCACATTTGTGGCACTTCCCTCTCCCATAATCCATTCCGTGAAGCCCAGACTTCAGTGTGATAATATTTAGACCCTTGAACTTATGGAGTGAACTAGTATTAATTAGACCTTGAGGATAGGGTCCACATAATGGGGTTGATGTCTTTACAATAGAAGATGGTAGAGAGCTTGATTTCTTTGCCACGGAAAAACATATGAAGATGCTGAACACCTATAACCCATGAAAAGCTATCTCAACAGGTGCCGGCCCTGGTCAGCATGTTAATTATCAGACTGTTGCTCCTTTCAGTGGAGCTAATGCATCTTCCACCCGGCTACTTATGACACACGTGTGATCTCTGTATGTTATGCCCCATTTGGTCTCTTTATGCTGCACTCAATTTACCCTGACAAGAAGTCCTGTTAGAGAACATTGCCTTGCAAGTGATCGTTAACACCACTTCTCCCACATGGTCCCAGCATTTGGTAATATGAGACAGGCCCTTCGGTGATGCTGTCTGTATAAATATAGCTAACACTTCCATGGATAAGGAGATTCCAACATGACCTTTTCACTTTCTAATCTTATTGAGAGTGCTTCAAACCTGAACAACTTACTGCTTCAGTGTCTAGAGCAGACATCCAATTCTCCAAGCAAAGTGATGGTTTCTTCATATCTATTTCACTGTAACCAGTAGGAAACGCTTTCCTTTCTCCTCTCTGTTGATACCAGTGTGGTAAGAGGTTGGGGGAAATAGCTGACTTCTCTTATGTAGAGACAATTTTTTGGCCTCTTCATGTTCACCGTAAAGTTTAAGACCCTAAATTTACTACGGTAGCTTGTGTGACCCACATAAGCAGTATCCAAGGAAGTGGATAGTCTTATTATGACATTTTACAGATAGAGATCTCAGATAAGACACAGAGAGGTTAAGAAACAGCCACCTGTCACAGGGCCTGAAAATCATAGAGCCTGAAGCGTCACCGTCTGGCATCAGAGCTCAGACCTCGCGCCTGCGCCATTGCTTGTTGTCCTTGACAACATTTCCTTATCTCACCAAGTTCTGTCGGTCTTATCTGCATAAATATACTGAACTCTGCTCCATCTCCATTTCTGTCACCTTGGTTTAAGTCAATGTTATCTTTGCCCTGATTTACTGTAGCAATATCTTTATGAATCTGCATCAATTCTTGTGCGTTGCAGGCTGTCCATTCCATGCGGCATTTTAAAAATATTTAAAGGTATCTAAGAAATTTATGCCAATTCGTAGTCTCTTGTGTGATTGTGTATCCGTGCTTTAAGTAATAATATATTTGGATTTTTCTCCCTAAGGCTGGGGAATTTAAAAGAGGTCTGAAATAGGCAAGAATTTAGTGTACGGAGGTTATTAGAGTAACCCAGATGATAGTTTCTCTGTTCACTCATTTACTGGTGGATACTTAGAATCACGGTGCTCGGGGACTGTGAATACCACCACAGTGAACGTGGGAGTGCAGGCAATTGACTGGCAGGCTGATTTCACTACTTGTTTTTCCATGTACTTCTTGAAGCACCATTATATATCCAAGTGGATCTAATTGTGGCTCTATTTTTTTTTTTTTTTTTTGCTGTGGCTCTATTTTTAATGGTTTGAGGAACTTCTATGTGTTTGCCATAATGGCTCTGTCAATTTACATCCCCACCAACAATATACAAGGCTTCCTTTCACTGCCGGGCAAAGGGACACATGGCACTGTTGTGCATAGGTAAGCATGCTCTCTGTGGCACTTGACTGTGAGATCCCTTTGCAAAATCATGATAAGGAAGAAAAGCCACCATGTATGTGGGCATGGCATTTGGCATGGCAGGGTCAGGTGCTTGGAGTGTAATTTGCTTTAACTTTCTAATCAACTGAAAGGTCAGCCTCTTCAAATATCTATTCTTTGCCCCAAAGAAGTAAGTTTACAAATGTCTCCTTTTCACCTATATTTTCTACATAGAAGTAATTTTCATTTCCTTTCTAATGAATCTTTCCAACGAAAATGCCAGGCAAGTGAAATATTAAAATAGATTTAAAGAATCTGAGATGTAATATGACAACTGAAATCCAGGGCATAAGTGTTAAATACTTGACAGTAGGAAAAATTTCCAGCAAATGATACATAATTTAGACAATATTAAACTAAGTCTAAGAATTAAAATTAAATATAACAAAAAGGAACTTAAAATGTTCATGGAATATGAAATTAAGAGATAAATTTCTTTTGGCACAAGATTTATGGATACCCATGTTTACAAAAGGTCTTCAAAAAGTTCCTGAAATGTGAATATTCAGAAAATGTTTTGCACACATTTTCAAATGTTTTTTTTTTTGAAATAAATTTATTTTAAATTGTTTTCCAGGAACTTTCTGAAGTATCCTCATATATGTAATTTCTCATTGGCCTAATCACTTTCAAATGTATAATAAACAAAAAAAAAACCAAATTTCATACAAAAGCCAAATTTAGATATGTGTATGAATATCTGCCAGTCATCACAATGCATTGGTAAAGATGGAAGTGCAAACCAGTAGAGAAATCATTCCTTATGGATTACCAATTGTTGGTATCTACGTGAAGACTTTAACATATGCATTCACGTTACTACAGGTAAGTTGTTTATGTACATATGGATGTTTGAAAAGATATTAATAATTCAGGGCCAATTCTAATCCTGCAGAGCATGGTAACACTAACATTATTGCCAGTCAAACTCACGGTTCAATGGAAATGCTTTCAGGGTGAGGCAGGCGGTGAACAATTTGTGTCATTTTGTCAGTGAACATGAATTCTACACATGTGGGCTTAGTGTAATTTTGTGGAGTGAATGACTAGCTAGACCAGTTAAAGACATGTTTGTGAACCAAGGGGCAAAGGAGGAATGCAGTTGCAGATGGCATGGGCAGGATAAAACCTCTTGGGAAATCATGAGAAGTGGCACTGATGGAATCAGTCGGTGCACAGGAATTGTAAGAAGCAAGGGAGCTATCACAGCAAATTAATCTTCCAGAGGAAAGTTTCAGCCTGACACCCGGGACCTGAGCCTAGCCTGAGGAGGAGTTGGAATAATTATTTCATTTATGTGAAAGGAAGTAAGACCTTGATCCTGAGGACAGGTGGACATCAGATCATCACGCATGCTTTTATGAGTACAGGAGGAATTTGTTACGCACGTACATGCATGCGTATGTGTATTTTATCCCAAGAGCTTGGGAGACAAAAGAGGAACCCGAAAGCTAAAAAGACAACGAAAACAAGATGATGGGAGGCTCAGGGACAAAGTGACCAGGGAGCCAGTCACAATGGAGTGCACTAAAGACATTTTCATGGTAGCATTTTGAAGGGGAACAGACTTCTGGCATAAAGGGTATGGAATTCGTATTATTAAGTATGTCTTTTTAAGTGAAATTAAATATAAGCAATCATATAATTTAAAATTTTACAGTTCATACATATGTAGGGGTGTGTGTGTGTGTGTGCTTTGAAATAGGAAGGCCTAGTTGAAAAATGAATACTAACAAGGGTTATTTCTGATGATGAGATTAGAGATGCCTAGGTTTTGTGTCTTCTGCAGTTATAAGATGAATCCATAAATGAATCATCAACTCTTGATGGGATTGTAGGGATAACAGACAATTTTTCTAAAGAGCCTTGTGACATGGCTGTTTGTTGCAGATTAAAGCAAGAATTCGTGCATCTCAGTTCCCTTGTAGCTATGTTCTCCTGTATCATCATGCTTTTCCAGGACATAAAGTTTAAAAACTACCCATGAGCCTTTACTCTTAATTACACTTCATATAGATTTTACTACTATTGTAAACTGCCGTGTTTACTCAGTCCTGGTGCTGTCATGCGCGAGTTCGTCTGTGCATAGGTATGGCGGCTTAAGATTCTTTGGATATACTTTCCACATCCCCTTCCAAGGACCAGAACAAATGTTGACTAGCGCTTGACCAAAAGCAGAATCCTAGGACACCATCACACCCCTAACCAGGTTAGACATCCTTTAGGTCAGCTGTAACTCGCTACTGCCACCTGGTGGAGCTGATTCTCGATTTCGGAAAGTTACAGGTTTCCAACCTTTAGGGCTAAAAGATGCTCAAGTTAGTCATTATTGACAACATCTGCCTCCTCAAAGGGCTGTAGGATAACTTACTGTGTGGCATGAAGATGTAAAAGCCTGTGTTTATAATCCAACAATTTTAACAAGACGGTTGTAAAAGCACTGGTTCCCACAAGTCACGTTTGGCTTGTCCAAGATAGCCAGTTTAAACATCTTTCGGCTGGGGTCTGAATATTTATTTGGATTTATTTTAGCAATACTCATACCATGCTACGCCCTGATTTCTCAGTTGTAGGTATCACACAATTATTTTTTTCAACACCTTAGAGGCTGAGAATGCAGCCGTCTTTCACAGCTTCCTTCACTCAACATAACTCACAGGGTTAATGTCTCCATCCCCCTGTTAGGGTTGTATCTTAACTGTACTTACATTTAAGGACATTTTCTAGAGCTGCACTAACAGCTAAGAAATACACATTTTTCCTATCCTTTGTCAGAGTTAGAAAAACTCCCTTCCACTACAGCTTGGTTTTTTTTTTTTTAAACTTTTTTCAAGTTTTAATCTTCTTTTGGAACAGTTGGGTAATAGGACACATGACAAACACCAGCCATTTTACCACTGTGCATGTTTCCCAGCATCTCCTCTGCCAGCCCTCGCTACCTGTCCTAAATCCAGCCATGTTTTCTGTTGAGTTGCAAGGAGGATCTGACCTTAAGTCTGCTTTCATTTCATTGACACTTTGGCTGTGCATTCCTTCTAGGCTGAAAATCAATGTTGCTTGAAAACTTGCAGGCATTTTTTCCTGCAGTTGCTTCTGAATTTCCAATGCTGCTGTGGAGATGTGTTCAGCCATTCACATTTGTGATTCCTTTTAAGGCATCAGCTTTTCTACTTCCTTAAAAGATTGTATGAACTTTGTCCTCAGTATTCTGAAATCTCAGAGATTTCAGAGAAGATCTGTCCCATGCGGATCTGTTTCCTCCAATATGCCGGGACCCAGCAGGTCTTTGAATCATGAAAACTATATTTTTCCATTATGGAAATTTTCCTGAATTTTTGACGCGTCTTTCTATTCTGTTTTGTTGATTCTTTTCCTGAAAGTTCTACTATTGACTTACACTTATTTTTCATATTTTTTTCAACTGAATTTTCCACTTTAAAGGTATTTGGTTTGTTTATATAAATGCCATATGCATTTATGCATTCTGCAGTTTATCTTGTTTCTCTGCAAAAGGCACCTCATGTTGGTGGCTGCAGTGTTTACCTCTTTGAATACATTAATGGCATTTTCTGTTCTGGTATTTTCATCTCCTCAGTCTTTATTTCCTCTGTGTTGCTGTTTTCCTTTGCTTTGAGACTCTCTTCCGCACCTGAGGTTGTCTAGGAGGCTTGGGTTATCTGCTCATATAAAGGAGTAAAAGGTTGCCTGGCCTTTTGCACATGAATTCTAGGATTGTCTTTGAAATTCACAGTGTTTTCATCTGACTGGGCCTCTGCCTTTGCCTTCTTCCCTTCCTCCCTTCCTTCTTTCCTTCTCTGTTTTTAAGAAAATACTAAAGTCAGCAGGCTTTCATCTCTTGCTTTGTATTGAGAGCATCCTCCAGTGCAACACATTCTGACTGTCTTCTGTCTACTGATCCCTGGAGGATGCAGAACCGGCTGCTGGGACGCATGAGGTAATGTGTTTCAACACTCCACACCTGAACCTCCACTCCGCCCGCACCTGAGCTTCCGCTCAGCACCTGTTTGCTGCATGCCATCCTCTTACAGCCTGCAGCTGAGTCTGGATCTCTTTGTCTCATTTTACTGCTTCTACAAATCACACAAATCGAATCCATGTGGAGTTGAGAAAGCGCTGTTTGTTCTTGTGGTTAAGACAAGTTGTTTCTGAGTGCCTGCCTTTGATTTCCAACTTTAGCTTCCTGCTAATGTGCACTTTGAGAGACAGCAGTGATGAGTTCATTAATTCCTGCCACTGAGTTCCCAACTTTGTTTCCTGTCTGTTTGGGGCATTTGGGAAAGATGGACGATTATCTATGCATCTTTCTCCCAGTTTCTCTTATTTTGTTTTTAAAATTTGATTTTCAGCAGTAAGGACTTCCACCTCAAATGTAAACACCACCCAACTAAAAGAGGCAATTTGTTAAAGAATACTTTCCCTTTGATGAACTCTAAATTATATCAAATAAAATGAAAATAATTATTGCAGATTTTTCTCATTGAAAGCATACAGATTTTCTAATTTCTTGAATTTGAAAATGCCTGCAGGTTTTGAAATTGGATTAGCATAAAGTCTTGTGGAATCTCCAGACAATATTAGTGTTTGTAGGGAAAAGAAAGGCTGTTCTGGGCTGCTACAGTGATGTAGGGGGTCAATGCAGGAGTTAATCTAAGACCACCATCTGAAACTGGTTAGAATTCTGCTAATAAAAACAGGCTATCGAACCAGTTGAATGAAAACAAGAAATGGAAGCCATGGTGTGAGAACAGGATAATACCTCTGTGTATTGTCTTGGCTCATCCCCATCACCTGCACTCTAGCTGAAGGAGACAGTACTGATGCTCATTTCAGAACTTAACATAGTCATTTTACTGCACTAAATCCATAAGGATTCATCCAACCATTAGGCCACACCTTGACTTTGTCGAGTGAAAGCACTGATGAGGAACCAGTGACAAATTTTAAAATGTGTGCATGTCTAACTGCAGTTGTGATATAAATTCATGTGTGCTGGTCTAGAAAGAATCAAATGTAAAATACCTTTTCCACCTCCATCTTGCTCGAATTTTTTCCTGCATCATCATCACTGTATCTGAAAAATAAATTGACTTGATTTATAATTTCATTAAAATGTGATTGGAAAAATCCTCATTAAAATATCTGTATTCTTTACCCTGATTTTGCTTTCTCTTTCATCTCGTTTGTTTCATGCCCAATAGCAGATTCTGTAAAATAACAAATAAAAGAAAAATAATGTTAAATAAAGGTATCTTTAGGTATGTATTTATAGGGTTATGTGCATTACTGAAAAGTGAAAACAGAGTAATTCACTTTGAACTGACTTATTATTAATCTTAACGAAGTCTTTTACAAGCATGAATTTTCCCAACATGTTTTTAACTATATCATCAGAGCAGTTCACTAGAACCAAAAATTATTGCAGTGAAATGTGTTGCTACAGCCAAACAGAATGCAGAAATTAAAGATTTCTAGTGTTATATGGAAAGGACACTTCAGGAATGAATAATCTGGGTATCTATTGATACAGATAGAAGACATAGTTCCATCATACTGGCTGGAGAATAGGAAAGACATTCTTCCTTTATGCCAAAGAGTACAAATCCAATGCTTCATTTAAGGTTAGCTATTTGTCTAGTGTAGTTGTTTTGCTTAAATCTTGGGAACTATGGAAAGAGGAAGGTTGAATTTATACATTGCATGTGAAGCAAGTTCATTCAAAATAGAACTCGGAATTCTTGACTTAATACCTATTGTCCAAATGACTACACCCCATTGTGGCTATATCAACACATGATACCATCAATTTCCAGTCCGTGGTTGGTAGCTCCACTGAAATTAGTCATCTGGGTGGCCTCAGCTTCTGCTTCAGCATTGATGATCTGCTGTGCTACAGCCTCCACAATGGGCATCACCATGGCAGCAGTAGAGGTGTTGCTAAGCCACATAGACAAGAAGGCAGTACTGCTCATGAACCCCAATGTGAGCCTGCAATGAGAGAGCCTTTAGTGTGGGAGCTGTGCTCTCTAGCTTCCTTAACTCTGTCCTGTTGAAGTGAAGAAGCCATTGCTTGGAATTTGGCAATTACGTTTTTCAGCAGGTAGTAGGTTAAGTTTTCACTCAAGTAATGAACCCTGAGTACAAATTCATGGACAAGGTGTGGAAGCTTCTTTTTACCTCTTAGCCCTTCTACTTTAATAGATGGCGGGTAGGGAACAAAAAGGCTAACAGGATTTCAGAATTTCCTGCAGATTCTGTTGTTGACACTCTTTTGGATCTGACAATTTTCTTGTTGTCAAGAACAAGATATATTACACTGTTTTCTCTTATAGACAGAGTATTTGCTCTAGAGTGGTAGATTAAGCCACTGTGTGGGATGCCAGCATTCTCTTATGGGTACCGGTTTGAGTCCAGGGCATTGTTCCACTTCTGACATGGCTCCCTGCTAATGGGAAAGCAAAAAGTGGTGGGCCTGTGCTTGGGTCCTTGTATCCATGCGGGATACCTGAACTGAAATTCAGGCCACTGATTTTCACCTGTTTCATTCTTTTGAACTATCTGGAGAGTGAACCAGCAAACAGAAGTTATCTCCAAGAGTGTGTGTGTGTGTGTGTGTGTGTGTGTGTGTGTGTGCGCGCGCACACACAGCTTACTCTGTGTGTAACTTTCCCTTTCGTACCAAATCGTTTAAAAATGAAGTACCAACACAATTGCTTTATAAATGAAATTATAAACATGTAAATGCTAAGGTTAAATCAGGTTTAATGGATACATGCATAAGTATAAAAAATGTTTCAAATGTTCCTAAGACCACAGGATTTTAGGCCATAGCTGTAAACGTAAAAAAACAAACCTAGGAGAAAGTGTGGTCTCTTTGAGGTGAGAGACTAAAAACTGTACAGAAGCACATGTTTATTATAGTGCATTTTTGATCATTTCTGAATCCTTTTTACAATAGACTATGAGAACAAATCAATACTACAAGTTTTAAATTCAAAAACCAAAATGAAACTTTTTAGATGTTTATTTACAGATGCCCATTTAAGCAAGAAATGGCTCTTTAAAAAAAACTAGAAGCACTCCATTTAAGGCATAATCAATGTATGGAAAAATAGATTGAAATCAGATGAATTTTGAATACTGTAAACACCTTAAACTAGAAGTTGTTCATTGGCATGATGAACCAGGCCCCTGTCCTCTGTACAGTGCATTGCCCCGCGCCTGGGGCCAATGAGCAGACGGTCATAGAAAAGAGATACATTTTAATAAAATCTCAAGCTGCACTGGCCAACATTTGTAATATGAACTGTCTTCAATCCACATATATTGAAGTAATAAAGTTTATATAAAATTTAGTTCATCTATGCCACTGGATTTTTTTGTGTGTGTTTATCAGAGCAGTTTGTTCAGCAAATGATAAACACAGCTGTGGTGATGCCCTACAATAAATTATGTAATAGAAGTCAGTATATTTTATTTTTTTAAAAAATGAGAAAGGTCCGTGTAAGTCATTAAAGCAAAGTGTTATTCTACAAAAGATTACAACCCTCCGTTTTTTAAACCTAAATCCATTTCTTAACAAAAATTAGAATAAACTCAATTTTATATTACAATATTACATTACAACTAATACAACAAAAAATTTACTTTTAATGGTTAAAAATAGTAGTCAAATGAGTGAGTTCACATTCTTTATTGAAACCTCTTAACTGATTATTTAATTTTGCAACAGTTAATTTCAAACGGAAAACCTTTCGAGTTTCGCAAACATTTGTATTTTGTCGGTAATTTTTTTGTTTTGATTATTAACATCTTCTGTGTTGATGAAGCATGCTTTTAAACAGGTTTTGAGTGTGTACGGCCAAGTAAACATGGTAGGACTGAAGCCTGCTCTGAACTATGGTGTCTTATGTGTTGAGTTCAACACCTCTCTCATCTTTGAGTCCCAGGGTGACAGTATTGTGTGCTCTTACTCCAACCTTCCCGTAATTAGACCTGCAGTGAAAGGAAGTAGTTTTTTTTTTTAATCTGCCCATAATTCAAGAATACTTTATAGCACTTGAATATTTGCAAAGGAAAATCCCCGGATGTGCATTACTTATTTCGTTATTTGTTCTGAACAAAAATAATCTGTTCAGGATGTCAACTAGAAGCAGTAGGTACAGTCCTTACCATGCTGGGTTCACACCCACCATCATCACCATTCTCAGAGCAATCCTCTTGTGCAAATTCCACTTTTCTATTGATGTTGCTAAACAGATGACTCCAACTAGGAGCAGGTGAAAATCTTTGAAATAAGCAGATGCCACCTGAAATTACAATTACACTCAGGATTATTTGCATTGGGAGGCAGGGAGAGAAGGCATTGCGCAAGAAATTGTACTGCTGCTTCGAACTTTGACCTTCAGCAGAATATTTTCTGTTCGCGAGAAATGTAGATGTGTTTGAACACCAATTCGATTATGTTCTAGCTTCTGCCCCAGAGAGGGTTATGTCAAGACAAAAATATACGTATAGAAAAAAGAGTACGTAAGATATTGAGTTTTAAATATACGGATAACAGCAGGCAAGTATTTTCTACCCTTTAATTTTTCCACATATAAATTAGAGCTCATTTGATTATGGTGATAAATGAGATTTGGGAGTTTGAAATCGAGCACTGTGCTGTCAATATCTTCATCATAACCTTAATAGGTTATTATTTCAGAGTAATTCCTTTTTTTTAAAAAAGAATTTTTTTCAAAATCATTTATTCTAAAACAAATAATTGTTTTCAGCTTAACCTATCCAGAGACCAGGACAATGTCCCAACACTTCCAGCAATCTCTTACAGCAATTTCTCCAAAGGCTACTTTGAAATGTTAGGTAAAATCACTTCTTGGCCTTTTGGCTAAGATCAAGTGAAATGTTAAATGCACCCTTTTTTTAAAAGAATCTTGTTATCACTTTATCTTAGAAAATAAAGCTTTCTCAATGCTAAAAATGTCTTATTTGCAGGCTTTACCAGAATCTTTACATAATAATTCACATTATCATCTCTAGAGTGGAGTACAGCAAACTGCCTATTTTTCAGACTTAATGATACAAACTTTGGCTTGTAGAAGTTTTTAGGCAGAGCACGTCATGTGACTGGCATTTAATAGTATTGGCTTTGGGGAATGCTCAGTTGAAGGGAGTCACAAGTTGCACGAAAGGCTTGTAAGAAAAAATACTCTATTGAAAAAGCAAATAAGGTAGGAGAAATGAAAGAGTTGGAATAAAACTATTCTATTCTCCAAGACTTCAGAGGAAAAGGGAAATCAATTCTGAGAATGATTTTGCTATTCAGTTATAACTACACTTTTAACATAGCTTATCAAGCTTGACTTGGCTTTGATAAATGATAAAAATTGATAATTCCCTTGAATTAACAGCAGTCCATTGGACCCCTTCTTTATGCTTTACAAAATGTCAATTGTTCCTCATTATTTATATTTCTCTCTTTGTATTTGAAAGTAATTAAGAGATAATACTTTTATAACATGCATTCTTCTATTTATCAGTTTTTCCAGCACTGAAATAGCATTTATGATGCTCAAAAATGTTACAGGAACACAGACATGCTCTTCCATTTTTGCCTTTAATTCTCAAACCTCTGGCTTTCATTTAAAGGGTTTTGCTCTTTTTCTGAGTTCTGTTTCCCTTCTTCTGGAAAGTCTCATCATGTAAGGCTTGCTTTGTTGTGACCTGTCTTACCATTATGCTCCACACTCCGTGAGAAGAGGGACGGTTGTACAATTCCTTATTTGGTGTCCAGTGCGGTTTGACACAGAGGGAAGAATCACTTTGCATTGATTTCCTAGTGTTTTCAGCCTTGTGAATAATTTTAATTTTGCTTTGTTCTATTCCTGCCTCTGATTTTTTTCTACTACACATATGTTAAAAATAGTTCTCCCTGCCCTTCTCTTGCATGCTGGTATTCTACCAGGAACCTCAGTTTTTAATGACTTCTGAAGGCACCATGGTCTTTATATCCAGACGGATACTTTTATTTTTATTTCCAGGCAGAGCTTCCCATTTAAATTTTGCATAGACACAACTGAAGTCATTCAAAATGAACACTCTTACCCTTTCACTACCCATTCTTCAAATGTGTTCTTCCCTTTGCCCCTCTTTTCTAGGAAATGCAATATCTATGTGTTCACTGGTTCAAACCAGACATCTGAGGGCACGTACAGGGCAAGGACTTTAGCCACTAAGCTACCACACTGGACCCTTAAATAACTCTCATTAATGGTCCCAAAGTACAAGAATGGTTATGCAAAGGAGACACCAGAAAATACAACATGGAAGGGCAGATTAACTCTGGTACTATGTGGCAATATTGCAGAATGGGCAGGGAAAAGTGTAGTGCAAATGAAATTTTATACTCTGCAGTATCGGGCATCATCTTTGTGCCTTAAAGTATGCTTTTTGTGGGTCCTGGCAGTAGCCTAGTGGTTAAAATTCTCTCCTTGCATGCAGTGGGATCTCATGTGGATGCCAGTTCTAATCCCGGCAACCCTATTTCCCATCCAACTCCCTGCTGGTGACCTGGGAAAGCAGTCCAGGACAGCCCAAAGTCTTAAGACCCTGCACCCACGTGGGAGACCCAGAAGTAGTTCCTGGCTCCTGGCTTCAGATCAGTTCAGCTCTGGCCGTCGTGTGGCCTCTTGGAGAGCGGATCAGCAGACAGATCTTGGTGTCTCCTCTCTGACTTTCCAATAAAAACAAATAAATCTTTAGAAAAAAAAAAGAATATGCCCTTTGTGGATGGGGAATGGGGATTATTGTATCAGCAGGTGAACAAATAGACAGAACTCCAGGAATATCAGAAGTTCTAATCCTTTATTGAAGGGGCTCCTGTTTTCTGTTTTCTTCTAAAGTACATTGTGTGGTTTTCGTCAGAGTCGGTGTTTTGTAGAACATTACCCAGAAGCATATGTGTTCATAGCCCACTTGTCCAAGAGATAATGAACGAAAGGTGTTATTATACTGATTAATGTAACTTTCTGAGGCAAAATTGACATGTCAATTAAAATCCCTAGTAAAATCTTAAATCTGTTTGCAAGATTAGGATCACTATCAATGATATTTCTGTCTCAAATGGACTTAAAAAAAAAAGAAAAAAAAAGACTGCTGCAATCAGAGAACCTGCGTTCACTCTTGGGTATGTAACTTACCAGTTGAATGACCTTTCTACACATCAATAAAAAGTTGTAAAAATTAAATAGTGCCTCACATCAACTTTGTGAGTTAAATCACATGTTATTTTTAGAAAGTGGTTTGCTAGTTGTATGATTTGCTGACATTATTTTGCTGAATCCAATAGTAAATTTCTTGATGATGATACAGAGAGACACAGAAAGACTGACAAATATTTTCCGTTCATTGATTCACTCCCCAAGTGCCTGAGACAACCAGAGCTGAGCCAAGCCAAAGCCAGGAGCCAGGAATCAGGAACCAGAATCCAGGTTTCCTACAGGAGTAACCGAGACCCAGCTGCTTAGCCACCATCTTCTGCCTCTCCACATCTGCATTAGAAGGAAGTTGAAATCAAGACTTGAATCCAGGCGCTGTGATGTGGGATGAGGGAGGCTTAGCAGGTGTCCTTCCTACTAGATCAAACGCTTTCCTACAATGGTCAGTGTCTAACTTCCCATGTTACCTGACTTACTGACAGATTTGACATGCATGTTCGCAGTCCATTCTTAACATACTTACTGTCTTGAATCCCACGCCCTGCTTGATTTCCTCCTCAACTGTCTTTTCTTCTTAACTCCTACCTCAAGTATTTTCTCCCTTCCTCTGGATGTGTTTATCCTGAACTTAGTTCTTTGTTCTTTTGGCTTTTCTGTCCTAACTTTCCTCTTTAAGTGATGTCATCAACTCTTGATGTTTTAAATGCCATCTTTCAGGCTTATGTTCCTAAGTTAGCATTTTTTTTTCTGATAACTCTGAATTTGTATGTATCCAATTGCTTACCCAACATCTTCAGTTAGGTGTGTAACAGGTATTTCGCACCTGTGTGTTCAACTTTGAACTCCAGGTGTCAGTTCCTTCCTACTGACTATTCCTGTAATCTGTTCCATTTCACTTGATAGCTCAACTCCGTTCTTCTAGTTGTCAGGTCCAAAAGTCATGAAGCATTCTGGACTCTTCATCTTCTGATCATAAACCATATACAATCACTTATGAACATGTGGTGGTTTTCTCCTTAAAATGTATCAATCACATGTTCGTGGATTGAATCACTGTGGATTCTCATCTAGATAACTTTGCCCTGTCTTTCCTCTTACCTTGTTTCTCAATACCAGCCACTACCTTATCTTATAAAAGCAAAATCAGAATAAAGATTTAAAATCTTGCAATATTCTACTCTGTTCACACATGGTCAGTCGCTCCACACTTCACTTTCTGATATTCTCTCATTCTCCTCTTCACTCATTTCCTTGAGATCTTTGTCCTGGGGTTCCCCCTCTTCTTCAGTGATCATTCCCCAAATATTCAAATGACTGCTCCCTTGTGACATACAGGTGTGTCTTGGCAATTTTTATAAACCCAGGTCTTCATGGGTACCTTTCTCCTCCTGTTGTCACCCAAAACAGTTTGCTATAGAAATGCAGTGTGATTCCAAAGAACCTTACTTCCACCTCTGCCTCTTGAAAAGTCAATTTTATTGTTATTAAGTTATGGGAGACAAATATGTAATGACTTAACTTCACTATTTCTGGAGACAGAATTATCCAAGTCAGTAAGACAGGCATTAGCAATGCTACATGATATTGCTATGAATATTCATTATTTTTATTTGAAAGGCAGAGTGACAGAGAAAGAATGGAGGAAACAAAGACAGTAAGAGATTTTTCCATGTGCTGGTTCACTCCCAATGCTTGTAGCAGTCAGGGCTGGGCCAACCTGAAACAAGGAGCCAGGAAACCCTTTTGAGTCTCCAACATAGGTGAAATAGAAGCAGGCACGTGGGCTTTCACTTTTCCTTCCCACAATGCATGTTCATAGGAAGCTGGGTCAAAAATGACAATAGGATTGGACCCAAGCATTCTGATGCAAGACATGCCCCAAGTAGTGACTTTACCTTGTATCAAAAACACCAACCCCTTGATATCTCATTTGTGAGGAGTTTTTAAATCCTTTTTTAAATCCCTTTGATTGACAGTCATAGGATACTGATGCATGTAGCCAATGGCTTCATGTATAGTCCTATTCCATGGGGGAGTAAGGCATCCGAGGATCTGAGAACAGACCTGGTCATGCTCGCTTACAAATCTGCGGTGACAAGAATGAAGAGTCTGGATAAGCAGGAAAGGAGAAATGCAGTAAGAAATGACTGGTAATCTGCAGGTCTAGATAAAGAAGGAAACAGCTCCCCCCAACAAGAAAGATTATAAAAGGACAAAAGAAAAAAAAGAATATCCACTCACATTAAAGACAGCCGAACCCCTAAGAGAGCAACGCTGTGCTCAGGCAGAAGGCACAAGTCCAAAGAATGTGACTTCTCTCCTGACCAGGTGTCAGCCATGGTTCTGGCATTTGTTGTTTTCTAGATGGCTGGAAACCACAAGGAGATAGAGATTCTGGTTTCAATGCATTTCATGCTCCTAGTGGAATCCATTTTCTTCAGATGGGTACCCTTGGATTGTATCAAGGTAAGAAATGGCTCCCAGCAGGAACAATCTCGTCTCAGCAAGAACAAAATGGAAATATGTGTGGAACCTAATTTGGCTTTATCTTTTGAAATGGCAGGTTTCTGGAAAAGAAAATAGGGAAGCCTTTTTCTTCATTTAAAACAGAAATTGTTTTTTTCAGTGCTGTGGAATTAAATTTCACGGACAGAAGAAGCTCACACAGGGTGTGACTGGGGTGCCCCTGTTGCTGGGAGGGAGGCGCTTTTCCTGGATGTCAGCAAGAGAAGATTGGACCCTGATTTCTCCTACAGACTCCTGTGATGCAGAAAGGCACGGTCTGTCATTATTCCTGAAGATGAGCACAAGCAAATCCCAGGGTGGGAGGCCAGAGGACTCATTGTGGGAGGCTTATTTACAGGATTATTCCTGCCTTTCCAGGCTACTTCTGGCTGCTGGTGTTTGGGGCCCTGCTTCAATTGCTGCTTGCAATGTCTACAACTTGTAGTCCTGGTTTAAGTCCTGGTTCTGTTCTCCATCCCAGCTAATGTATACCTTGGGAGACAGCAGCTGATGGCTCAAACACCTCTGTCTCTGGTACCCATAAAGGAAACCCAAATTGAATTCTCAGCTCCCAGCTTCAGCCTGCCCCAGCCCTAGCTTTTGTGAACGCTTAGGGAGTGAACCAGCACATGGAGAAACAGCTATTGGTCTGTTTATTGGCCTTTAAAAGAAATAAAATGAATAAACAAATTTTTTTAAATATAGAAGCAATTCTCTCAATAGAAATAAAATGAATAAACAAATCTTTAAAAAGAAAGATAGAAGCAATTTTCTCAACAGATATCTCAACACAACGTACAGGATCTAATGGTAAGAAATATTTACAGAACTTACCTTTGTAGAAGACATGATCCCAAATAGAGGGAACATTAAACCTGGCAAGAAGGCGGTCACTGAGAGAGGCAGAGCCTCTGTGATCCAAAATATGGCCACAACAAAGAGCGTGTAGGCACATTCTGATTCCTAGAAGGAAGAGAGGGAGACCAGAAGGAGAGCTGATGAGGCTGGGGAGATTACTACTCAAATCCCATCCGCGTTTGCTGAATGGAAGCAAGATGTTCTCTGTGTGTTTTTGAGTTTCCAGTAAATGGTCATGTCTTGTGGATTCTAAGAACCAATATTTAATAAGCATGAAAATACAAAAACAGGAAAAATGTCCATAAGTTAGTTTTCCTTCACATTAATGCTTCTCTTGGTATATTTAAGCTTCAACTGACCTACACAGCACTGCTGGAGGACAGAAGTAGTCTGCGTATAGCCATTTTTCTGGGGCAGAGCAACTGCCTTTAATTTTCTGTAACTTTAAAAAATTTGAATTGTACAGCTTTCAGTGGTATGCTACTTTTCAACACATATACACAGCATAAATTGATCATATTGAGAATTAACCATTCTGTCTCCTTATCTTTGTGAATGGAGCCTATTGGTTCTTCTCTTCCAGCTATTTTTATAGCATATGATTCATCACATAGTCTCCCCACCATCCTGCCAGAATCCGTTATATTCACCTGACTGTATGTTTACATTGCTTGGGGCCTGGGTGGATGGGACGTGTGCTTTCCCACCTTCTCCCTTCCTAACTGAAAGCAGGATATGTCTACTTAGGGAAAATTTTGGCTGTAGTTTGTCTCAAGGAAAAGGCAGTATTAAATGATATGACGCATGTGAGTTCGAATATAATCTCGAAGGAACATGAACGGAAAACCAAACGGCCATCTTCGCTGCTTTATGAAGACAGGAGTTGCTGGGGATACACAGTGACTCAATAAGAGTCCTTTGGTACAATATGCTACAATGCTTAGCATAAAACTGTGCTTCAAACAGGGCATCATAAATAAGGGGTTGAAATATGCTGTTATATTTGATTTACAAAGATAAGTTTGATATGAAATTATTTGGAAATTATTTGGTGTATGCTAGGTGTTCAGTAAAGGTTAGCATTAACCTCATAGCTTTGTCTTGCTTCCACACTAATTATCCTGCAAATGCTGAGTTGCATTTCAAAAATTTACAAAAACTTTTGGGTCTAATGAGGTCTTTTGTTTAAAAATATGTAATTTCTAGTTGCCCCACTCTGGGGTTCGCCTGATTCAAGCTGAGTCCTGTGGAGTTCGTGTTTCATTCTCTATGTCCTCACTGCTCCCCAAGAGATCCTTAATATGCCAGGATTATCTTTTTAAAGAAGAACAAGGTCATTTGTTTCTAAGATTTTTTTATTTTTATTTATTGGAAAGTCAGATATACAGAGAGGAGGAGAGACAGAGAGGAAGATCTTCCATCAGCTGACCCACTCCCCAAGTGGCTGGACGGCTGGTGCTCAGCCGATCCAAAGCCAGGAGCCCAGAGCCTCCTCTAGGTCTCCCATGCGTGTACAGGGTCCCAAGGCTTTGGAACATCCTCTACTGCTTTCCCAGGCCACAAGCAGGGAGCTGGATGGGAAGTGGAGCAGCCAGGACATGAACTGGCACCCATATGGGATTCCAGTGCATGCAAGGTGAGGACTTCAGCCACTAGGCTACCGCGCTGGGCCCAAGTAAAGGCATTTTGATGTTGACAGTTTTACACAGTCTGCCTCCTAACAAACAATAAAACAGCCCGACAAAGCTTAACTTTGACCACATATAACTAAACGTCCCCAGAGAGAATTAGGGAATTTAAGATGCAGGTGTATAAGAAGGCTGCACACCACATCTCCACATAAGGACCACTCGAGAATCCCAACGTTTAGCCCGGACTCTATTTTACCATATTCGTAAGAACCCTTTTATTGATCCACTGCTTTGCTTCAGTCATGCTCCCCGTTCCATTCCCCTGTGGTTTTTACCTTTCAAATCTGCTCTTCCACCTATAACCTGCATCTCCATCGCATGCAGGGCTGTTCCACAACCAAATGCTTTTCCAAGGATCCATTTGACTTTGTCACTCCCTTGCATCAGGCCAGAGTCAAAGGCAAGCCACCCTGTTCACGATGTGCCGCCCCACTTTGAAAGAGTTCAGTAAAGCATCAAATCTATGTGCTGGCTAATTCCAGACATCACACATAACCAGCCTTAAGTACTAGAATCCGTGTTCAACATGTGTCTAGTCTAGCAGGGTAGTCATAATCTAGTCTGAACTGGGGAGACAGAATAAAAAATAACATTTCAAATACTAGGACCTGCCTGGGCCTCTTTCTCATTTTAACCTGACCAGCTCTGACTTTAACTAATCCAGTTAAGGGCTGTCAGCTGTTTATGGAAAACAATTCCAAATCCTCGTGTTTCGCTCAGGGCTACCTTCACTGGGTGAGTAGACTTTCCTCTACATAGTTTTGTTTGTGTTTTGTTCTTAAACCAACTCCAATTTCCAGTCATCTTCTAACAGCTTCTTAATGTTTGGGTTCTGATCTCACCTTCTCATCAGGTGACTTTTTCTGAGTTTGAACGTACAATGTTTAGTTAGCCAGGCGACGTGCCAGTAAGCCCCTAGTTCCTTCAAGAGTGTGTCAGACTTCTTTTTTGTCATTTCCTCACCAACACGTGTTATCCTTTGTCTTTTTGTGATGTTTCTTTCCACCAGGGTTAGATGTTGCTTTGTCGTTTCAGCTTACAGCTCTATAATGACGTATTGGCTACTCATATTCATGTGAGAAATGAATATCCAACTTTTGCCCATTTTAAAGTTAGTTTGCTTTCTTGCTATTTAATTGTTTGAGTTACTTACAATATGTTTTGAAATTAACCTTCTAGATTGTATAAATTATATTTTCTTACATTTGGCAGATTGTCTTTTTAGATTTTGATAGTTTCTTTTGTGTTCTAGAAGCTCTTTTAGTTTGCTATAATTTCATTTACCTATTTTTGCTTTTGTTGCTTGGGTTTTTGTGTCATATCCAAAACAATTATTGTCCAAGAACATGGGAATTTTCTATCTGTTTTCATCTTGTAGCTTCAAGGTCTTGGGTCTTACACTTAAGCCTTTCAACGATTCTCAGTTGACTTTTACATATGGCATGAGAGAAGGACCTAATTTTATGCTTCTCAGTGAAGATATCCAATTTTCCCATTCCTGCTAATTGAAGAAACCATCTTTTCCTCATTGTATGTTCTTGGTGCTTTTGTTGAAAATCAGTTGATTGTAAAACGTGTGTGGCTTTATTTCAGGGATTTCTGTTTTGCTCCCTTGGCCTATTTGTTTTTATGGCAAAACCATATTGATTTGGTTATCATAGGTTTGTAGTAGACCTTGAAATTAGGTGATATGATGCTTCCAGCAGAGTTCTTTTGGTCCTAGATTGTTCTGTTTAGCTTGAGGCCTTTATGAATGAACATGAATGCTAAGATTTTAAAATGTTCTTTCATGAATAAGAAGAAATATTTCCAATCAGGACGGTGTTGGTTTGCTTCTGTGCTGTAAGATATCCTCATATTATCAGCCCCTTTCATTCATCATTGGCTGATAAATTGTATAAACTTCCTATTGATGGATTTACCCCAGTGACACTTTCTAACTTCAATTTGTTTTCTTTATTATATAATCTTTCTGGGTCAGGCTTAAAGTTTTTGGCAGGACAATCATTCTTTCCTTTTGAAAAAGTTTGCCCTACATGTTGTATTGGTTGCCTGACAATGAAGACTAATAGGGTCACTTACTTCCTCACTCCAAGTTCCTAACTGCTGCAGGGTCTATGCTGCGAAAGAGAACTGGCTAAACCACCCCAATCATGTTTCCATTCTTACTTCTACTGCTGGCCCATTCTCCTCTTTAAACAATCAAAGCCAGTAGAGCTAAAAAAGGCTTGCCGATGGAGGAGGTGGGTGGGGAGGGGTAGTAGTGGTGGAAAGGGCGTGGTTATAGAAACATTTTTTTGTCCTACCTAAAGCTGCCAGTCACCTTTCCTGCTTAGAAAATTAGTCCTCTGCCCCATCATAAGGCCAGTACCCTGATAAAGAGATAGCTGACACAAAGTAATCAGCATCTTTGATCCCATCTGAAACGATTGACATGTTTGATGCAATGATGTTGCCCTAAGAAGGGCTCTATGCAATGAAAAACATGGCCTTGTCTAGGAGCTGTGTGTTAGTAATACTGAACCAAGGATGGGGTCTTGCAGTTGTCAAGACAGGATCATAGGACTGTACAAGATCAGACATGGTAGGGGACAATCTCATAGATTTGTGAGCGGTCATGTCTTCAGAATCTTCTGGAATACCAGTGAAATGAAGAGATGGGTATTACAGTTTCTAATACCCATCTAATCACCATTTCTAATCACCATTTCTTCATGGCTTTGTCCCACCTACCTTTCTGGGCCATCCCTGTGAACTTCACCAACAAGCCTTGCTGTACGTTGCCCACCCATCTTAGCAGAGCCCTGGTGGTGTTTTGTGTTTTCCCCAGCAAGCTGCTGAGAGGACTCTGCCTGCTGCTCAGCAGGGAGGAAGCTTAATTTCAAATCCTCTGCCCTCTACCTGGGAGGTTATACCCCTACTCCATCCTTATCCCCATCTCTCCTGCCCCATCCTGTCATCCCTAAAATAAATAATAATAATAGATCTTTATTAGTAACTGAAATGGATATAGCATTCCTTGGTATGACTTGTTATTACTTATTATTATCTCATCTTTTTTCTGCTGGTAGCTATTTCGGTCATTCCTTCTACCCTCAAATTATAAGATTGAGAACTGCATCTCTACTTCCATATAAATATAGGAAAGAAATTTTCCATGCCAGAATAGAAAATTGTGAAATTTCCAAGTGGAAGGAATCCATTTGAATCTGACCAGATCTTTCCTATTTGCTACCCAAAGAGTTGCACTAGTTTATAATGGCATTAGCAATCTAGAAAAGCCCCTCTTTCTCTTTTGCCACCATTTGAAAATGAGGTCTTGAGGCCTGTTTTGTGCTACAGCATGTGATGTCATTGGTTTTAGTGTTAGCTTCCTCTACTACACAGAGCCAGTTCAAGTCCCAGCAGCTCCAC